CTTGAGAAAAGTGGTGGTCAGGAGCCTGGCAGAGAGGAACAAGAAGACGTCAGAGTTTTAAAACTAGTTGGACCCTTACATCTTCAAGTACAAAGCCCACTCCTGTCATCAATGAGAAAAAGGAAACCAAGAGGGGAAAAAATACTTGATCCAAGGTCTTCAGGGATTTACTGGCAAAGCCTGAGCCAAAACCCAGGTAAGGTTCAGCCAACATCCCAAATGAGGTTTTCTTAATTTTTATGACTTGATTTTGTTTATTTTTTTCTTCTGCGGTGCTGAGGATCCAATCCAGGGTCTCACACATGTGAGGCAAGTGTTGTAACACTGAGCCACAACCCCAGCCCAAGGTTTTAAATTATAGAAACAGAAGGAAAAAAAGCAAGCCAGCATGTGTTTGGTGTGAGAGGCTCCTGACTGAGGAACTTGGCAGAATCTTCTTTCTGTGAGCAGAAGTTGGGCAGTCAGTTTGGACAGTGAGGGTTAAGCTCTGCAGGTGAACTCCACTCTGAGGGTCCTGTCAACATGGAGAACTGTGGAATAGGGAAGCGGAGGGCAGAGTCTGCAGCACGGGCAGGAGTAAAGGGGACCTAGAGCACATCCAAATCCAAGGCTGACGGAGCCAGGCAGGCAGTTCACTAAGAAGTAACTAACATTATAGGGCGTCACTCTATGTGAGGTTGTTCTATTAGCTCATTTAACCCTGAGCCACAACCATATGATATGGGGGCTGTTATTACCCGTTTTAAATACAAGGAAACAGGCCTAGGGAGGTGTGAAGCAGCTTGTCTGCTCCTATACAGCTAACTAGGATTCACACAGGCAGTGTGCTTGACTTTTTTTTTTTTTAACAAAAGAGAAGTAGTGAGTTCCCAGCGTGGGTACCACTGGTTGCCAATCTTGGGAGAGTCCAATAGTGAGGGAAGTGACTTTACTGAGACTCACCCAGGAAGTAAGGACAAAGATCAGGCCATCTGACTTCCAGTTTCTGATGAGGAAGAATCTAGATCCCTTTGCTGGCACACTGTGTGGGTCATATCAGGTCACAGCTGAAAATGTCTGTAACTCGTCTTGCTGTGCATTTTACAGCTCTTTCCTGGAATGTCTTACCCACCTTATAAGGTGGTCAGGACCAGCTGATTTAGTCTCATATCTTGTTCATGAGGAGATGGACGTGATAGAATGAACTTGATCATGCTTATATCGCAGGTTTTAAAGCTACATGAAATCCTGAGAAGGGCACTCCATTTGGAGTCAAGTTGAATCTGAAACCTGTCAACCCAATGGCTCCTCCCATCCTTTGGTCCAGACACAGGACTCTTCTGGGTCTATGACATTCTATGTGAAGGGATACTGAGATCTAAGTCCCAGGTTGCTGGGGGATTAAGTGAGACAGAATTTCTCTAGAGTTGTAAATTGCAACAGTAATTTTTCATTAGATGTGAACTAAAAAGTAGTTCCCAGTCACAGCAGTGTGATTCATGGATTTGTAATTTATCCAAGGAGTGGAAATAACAGAAATGTCCATCAGTTAGTGAATGTGTAAAATAAAAGGTGTTCTACATACAGTGGGAGATTCTTCAACCATAAAGACTAAAGGGGCACTGAGAAATGACACCAAGAGCCTGAAAACATGCTCAGTGAGAGACAGCAGGCCCCCAAACACCATAGATTATTTTATTTAATTTCTAAAAAATGCCCAGAGCAGATGAATCCATAGTTACAGAGAGTATATTAGTGGATTTATGGTCCTGGGGCTGGGATCTTGGGAGGGTGAATGTTATTGCACACTGGGGTTTTGAGTGAATGATGAAAATATTCTAGCATTAGAAGATGCACAACTTTGTGAATACACTAAAATCCCTACTGTGCACTTTAAAACGGTCAATTTTTGGCATGTATGAATTATTCTTAATCGAAAATTAATTTTAAAAGTAGTTGCCAGCAGAATTACAGCAAATAAAGTCTAAAGATTCTAGAAAAATGATGTCCATCTGCAGAACAATGAAAGTGAACACTTATTTTGTACCACATAGAAAAACCAACTCAAAATGGACCAAAGACTTAACATAAGACCTAAATCTGTAAAACTACGAAAAGAAAACTCTCAAGGCAAGAGTTTCTTGACCTTAATCTGAGCAGATTTTTTTTATATTACCTGAAAGAACAAGGGACAAAAGAAAAGTAGGCAAACTGGATTGCATCGAACTAAAAAGCTCCATACAGCAAAGAATACAATCAACAGAGTGAAGAGAACCCACGGAATGGGAGAAGACTCTTGCAAACCTTGCCTCTGGTAAGGGCTTGGAATCTGGAAGATAAAGGAACGCAAACAAATTAGCAGCAAAAATCCACTCATCTGATTTGAAGTGGACAAAGGATCTGAATAGTCATTTTTGATAGATGACATGTGAGTATAAAAATGCTCAACATCACTAATCATCAGAGAAACAAAAATGAAAGTCATTGTGAAATATTACCTCACACTTGTTAGAATGGCTCTTATCAAAAAATTAGAAACATAACCAGTTTTGAGGATGAGGAGAAAAGGAAAACTTGCACACTGTTAGTGGGAATGTGAACCTCTATGGTGGTTCCTTTAAAAAGTCAGGAATACGATGTGATCCAACAATCCCTCTACCATATGATCCATACCACCTCTGGGTACATATCCAGAGAAAACAAAGTCTGTGTCTTGAAGAGACATCTGCCCCCTGATATTCACTACATCATTATTCACAATAGCCAAGCTACGGAATCAACTTAAGTGTCCATTGGTGAATGAATGGATAAGGAAAACGTGATTCGTGCACACAGAGTGGAGAATTACTCAACCTTAAAAAATAAGGAAGTTGGGCTGGAATTGTAGCTCAGTTGGTAGAGTGCTTGCCTTGCATGCGCAAGACCCTGGGTTCAATCCTAGCACCACACACACAAAAATAAAACAAAATAAAAAATAAGGAAGTCCTGCTATTTGCAGCAAAATGGATAAACCCAGAAGATAATTTGCTATGTAAACCAGACACAAGACAAGAGCTGCCTGACCTCACTTACCTGTGGAATCCAAAAAAGTCCGACTTATAAAAGCGGAGGGTAGAATGGTGCTTTCCCATGGCTGAGGGGTGATGGAGACATATTGGTCAAAGGGTACCAAGTCTCAGTGAGGCAGGATGAGTTAAGTTCTGGGGACCCAGTGTACAGCATGGTGACTGTAGGTAATAACTTGAAATTTGTCAAGAGAGCAGATTCTGAGTGTTTTTACCACAGACACAAAAAGGTTATTGATGGTTACATTTGGTTGTCAACCTGACTAGATTGAGGGCCGCCTAGAGAATTGGTAAAGCACACTTCTGGCTGTGACTGTGAGGGTGTTTTCAGAGAAGATCAGGGTGGGAGTCAGCGAACTGAGAGGAAGACCCATCCTGAACTTGGAAGCACTCACCCAGAGGTGGGGGCCAGGAACAAGAACGTGTGCGTGCGAGGCCCTTCCTGCGCGGTGTGTTCTGCTGCTGGCCGAAGTCAGACCCCAGATTCTTCAGCCTCCAAATGTGGAAGCACCAGCCGCTCTCAGTGGTGGTGGTGGTGGTGGTGGGTGGTGGGCGGTTCACACCTCCAGCCTCGGACTAGAGTGGCATCGTTGGTCCCCTTGTTCTGAGGCTCCCAGCTTTTGGGCTGAGCAGCCCCCAGGATTGCTGGCCGCCGCGGGACTGTCCATCCTCCGATCCTGTAAGCTACTCTAAGACATCTTCTCCTGTAGTTGCAGATCTTCTATTTCTCCTGTTCTTCTGGAGCAGTCTGACTGACAGTTGCTCTGTGAAGTGACAGGTATGTTAATTCACTTGATGGTGTAATCGTTTCACTGTGTGTGATATCAAATCATCACGTTGTAAACTTTAAATATACATAATTTTATTTGTCAGTTATGTCTCAATAAAGCTGGAAATAAAATACCTAAAATTTCTACTTCTTTTCCCTAATTCAGCTATCCCCATAAGTAAGCACAAGTACCAGCTTATTAAACATTTCATTTTGATTCATTCTTGTATATACATTCATGAGCATATTATATGTGAATTTACAGGTACATACACTTATGTATAGTACACACGTGTAAAGCTTTTACATAAATGACAAATGATCCAATTTTCACTTAAATATATAGAAAGGCATAAAAAAGGTATCACAAGAGCACATGCCCACAGTTCAGCTCAAAATTCAAAACACTGCCCCCTGCTACACTCCTCCCTCAAACACATCTCCCACTCTTGAACTGCTCTCCTGAATGTGGAATTCATCATTTGGTGTAGTAACAAATTTAGCCTTTCCTGAAGAAAGGTCATTGCCCTATTCTGGAGATAGTGTCTAAATGTTTGAATGTCATGTCTGATAGGACTGTCTTTTCCTGGGGGCCTAAATCATACTGGATGATCTAAAAATGTGATTTAGTGCCCAGGCTGTTGATATTTTTAACAATGTGATTCAGAGTGGAGCAGGCCACAGCAGATAGTCTAATCATGTGACTTAGAATGTGTCTGTCAGGTGGTGTCAGCTCCACTTCAGGAAGAGCCAGGTACTGTGGTCAGACATGGAGGATGTCAACCACACCTATGTGATGGAGGCCCAGGAAAAACTGGACACTAGGCTTGGGTGAGCTTTCCTGGCTGTCAACCCACCCCAATGTTGAAGAAAACAAATGAAGTCTGCTCTATTTACTCTCATCTGGAAGGATATAAAAAGCAAAAAAAGTGCAATTATGACAATAAGAAATTTGACCTCAAATCTCCTGAGGCAATGAGCAGTCCAATAAGATAAGTGACAAAAGGGCTTGGATCCCTTGGCCTGGCCACCAGCTGGGGACCACTAGTGGTAGGATGGTCTGGGGATGAATGTGGAGATATTTATAGGACTCCATGACATGGGGATCCCATACATGGTGATTCAAAACCCTGTGGGTGAAGTCCTAGTTGGAGCTGGGAAAGTATTGAATTGTGGGATTAAAGTTTGGATGAGCCAGGCATGGTGATGCGCACGTGCAGTTCCAGCACCTGGGGAGGCTGAGGCAGGAGGATTGCAAGTTGGAGGGCAGCCTCAGAAACTTAGCAAGATCCTGTCTTAATATAACAAAATAAAAATGGCTGGAGATTGGCTCAGTGATAGAGTACACCTGGGTTCAATCCCCAGTACTCCCACCCCCCAATTGGGTGAAAATTGGAATGGTTGAGGAGACTTTATGTAAATCTGTTTCCCTGAACGCAGTATGGGGATGGATATTGTTTCTGCCTGGAAAACACTCCCCCTATCCACTGTGGTAAAACAGAAGGCATGTAAATCTTCCCTTCAACCAACATTGAATTAATGTGCTAAATGAGTAAAGTTGCCCAAACCCATCGATTATTAATTTGAAACAGTATAGGATATATATATGATGGGCAAGTTAGGACCAAATGTTTGGCTTATTTGGATTTTGGAGGACATAAATCCCACATCTAGGACTCTTGCTAGCTCCTGTCCATAAAACCACGCAAGTCCCTCCGAGGCCTTAGATACAGAGCTATAGCAAAGAGCTAGTGAGCCACCCAGTGGTGAATGCTGGGATTTGGGGCCAGAACGTTTCCATTTGAGAGAGAGCTAGTTGGCTATTTGGTTTAAAATCGCACCTATCACTAGAGGACATAAGTAAGGACCCATTGATGTGTTTTGTAATGTTGTAAAGAAACACTCTAGTAAGGAAGGCCATTGCAGAAGAGTCCATAATACAATGAAAGTGGTTTATAAAGAACATGCTACTAGAGGAATGCAAGGGGTACCCATTGCATCCATGAGTAGGTGGCCTCGTTTCCCCCAGGATCAGCTTTGGAACCACCTAAGGGGCTGCCAGATCCCCCCATTACTTAGACGGTGCCTAGAAATAGCTCTTGATTGGTCTGTGGATGGAAAATCCAAAGGGGATGAACAGCATCCTGTTTGGAAGCCTGACACTCAGATTGAAGGAGGTAAAAACAAGTGAGTTCAGTGAACTGAACTGCCCCTATCTTTGGTTTTTACCAACTTATGGGCAGTGGCCAGTGGCCTGGTGGTGTAGTCAGGCCAATGGACGATGGAGAACTGGGCTACTGGAGGGATGCCCGTGGAGGGTACGGCCCTATGGAATCGCCCCCTGCCACCTACCACCTCCTTCCTCCCCACAAGTCCTCCCTGACCTTTACAGTTGGCATTTTGGCAATTTTTAAAAGAATTTTACTAACTATGAGTGTATACATGAACACTATATTTTGATTTAGCCTTGTGTTTTTCCTGAACTTTAAAATGAATACACTCCTATTTTATTATTTACTTGTATCTGGCTTCATTCACGCAACACTTTGTGAAATTGATCCACATTGTTCATCTAGCATTAACTTATGTTTTAATTGCTGTGTAGTATCTTGTTTATTTTTCCATTCTATTTGTAATGATATTTGAATTGCTTAACTTTGGGCTGTTATAAATACTGTTGCTACAAACATTTTTTCACTTGTCTTCGGTGTTTATATGCAGACATTGTTATTGATTATATATCTAGGAGTAGAACACAAGGTCATAGAGTATATGTATCTTCTCCTTTGATAAATAATGTGGTTTTCTAATTTATATTCTCACCAATGGTGTATGAAAGTTCAGCATTATACATCTTTGCCAACCCTTGATATTGTCAGTCTTAAAATTCTCAACTGGATATGCACTTAAATCTTAATGATACTGAAAATTTATGTATATAGAATACTGCTTATCAAAACTTGGGATGCAGCTAAAGCTGTGATCAGCCAGAAATAGAAAACCAAATTAAACATAAAGTAGTAGTAGTCAGGGAAAATAAGTGAGATAAACTCATTCCCCTCTTTGGTATTGCTTTTTCTTCTATATTTCTTTCTCTATTAGCTTGAAAACTTTATAATTCTTTTAGTAGATAGTCTGGGTCTTACAATATGTGGATTGAAGATTGACATATTTTGGACAAGGCAAGGACCACAGAAATTCCACTCAGGCACCAACACGAATGCAACCTTCTCTCCCGACCACAGCCACCGTCTCTCCTCTGGCCACCTGGTCTGCAGACATTCACCATCCAGGCCATTTCTCATGCAGTGCCAATGGAACTGTCCAAACATCCAACCCTCCTGACCCTGTCCCTCCCTGTCGCACAGCCCTTCCACGGATCCCCATTAGTTTTAAGAGAGAACCTAAAGAACCCAGGGGAATGGGGAAGGGGAGTGAAAGACAAGGGAAGAGACAGGAGACATGGCACTGGGGCTACACATGGCAGAGTGTCCCAGCTGTCCTGGCTGCTCCTGAGATCTCGTCCTATATAATTCCTGCTTCTCCAGGTGAACAGGCCCTCGGGATGACCAAGGAGACAGACGTCCCTGCCTTGCCAAGACACATCTGATTTCCCTCCACCACATCCTCTTGCCGCTACCCATCACCTCGTCCCTTCGGGCACAGGGAAGGGCTCTCCTGTGCCTGAGAATGTCCCCACTGCTCAGGGGGCTGCCACAGCTAGAGCCAAGTAAGTGAGATGAGAAGCACGCTGGGCAGTCTCGGGAGCCAGGGGAGGGGCGGGCTACGGTGGTGAGAAGACACAGGAGGTGCGGATTAGTGTCTCGGCTGGGCCAGGGCGTGGCGTTGAAGGTGAGGGTGGTGTGGGGGCTCACTCAGGCAGGCTGGAGACAAGTGAGCACAAGGAGCTGACTCGGGTGTTACAGGGAGCCCTGAGGTTAGTCGGTTCTCAGCATCTTCGTATCCCCTTGGGCACTCTTTCCAGGTGGTAAAGACAGTGCAGAGGGCAGAAGGGGCCGGGGTGTGCGCAGAACCCTCTGAAAACTCCCCATGCCCACAATGACCCAGATGGAAAGTCAGAGATCAAGGGCTAATGCTCCCTTTCCTCTAGCAACTTCAAACATCAATGAAAACACACATAAAAGTGTAAAGACTTGTTCCTCATTATTGGAGTCCTTGTGAATCCAAGATATTTAGCACATGGTCAACGTGTCGTACCTATTCTATGTGGAGTGGGGGCATTTCAAACCTTCTTACCCAGAAAGTGCCACAGCAATCTTGGCTTCAGGTGGAGGCTCCATGGGAAGCCACCAGGGACTGGGAAGAAGGAAACAGAAAGGTGTTCTACTTGTCAAATGGGTAAATACTTTATTACGCACTGAGCTAGAAGCTCTACAAATTCACTCTCAGATAATAACGAGATAGTTTTGGTTACTGCCCCAATTCACCAGCCTAGAAGCAGCAAAGAGAAGGGAAGCGATTTGCCCAACAGCAGCCAGACACAGATTGATCACAGAGCCTAAGGCGGAAGGAAGCTGGGGTGTGAGGAGCGAAGCAGAGGAGCTCAGGCCGGTGTCTAACCTGGGGAACGGGGATCGGAGGCAAGGCAGGAACTCAGAAAATCACTCCCCATCATCCCAAGGCCGAGCACCCCAGGGGTAGGGGATAATGGGGTACTGGTTTGTGAGGCCTAGATCCTGTGGGGTTCTAGAAAGTCTACCTGAAGCTCCCTGGGTCCTGAGGGGAGCAGGGAAGCCGGGTGCTTTGCTGACTCCCACTCCCTCTCCACAGCACCCGCCAGGCTGCTCAACTCCTCTTGCTCCTTAGAGAAGATGCTGCAGTGCAGCTGCTCCTTCCACGGGATCCCCACGCCCTCTGTGCAGTGGTGGGTGGGCGGTGTCCCTGTGGGTGTGAACAGCGTGGATGGCGGCCTCCAGGTGACTTCCACCACCCTTGGCCCCTGGGCCAACAGCACCATCAACCTGGCCAAGGAGCCAGAAATGGGCACAAGCCTTCTCTGTGAGGGCAAGAACCAAAACGGAACCCATGCTGTGAGCATTCTACTGATGTCAGGTGAGTGGAGGACCCGGTGACTAGGTGAGGACAGTAGTGAGCAGGGTGGGGCTGGGGAGCTGGTGGGGGGACTGGCACTGCAACCAGAGGAGGGAGCAATTTGGGCTCTGAATCTGAGGTCTTGGGAGGGAAACCTTCCCCACGTGCTCTCTCCTTCCAGGAAGGAGTCCTTTGGCTCCCCAGATCTTTCTGAAAGGGCTGCTCCAGGGTGTTGTCTATGGATCTATGGCAGTCACATTGCTCTTCCTCTGCCTCCTCCCCTTCATGTGAGTATGCCTTAGTCCATTTTCTGGTGCTGTAACAAAATACCTGAGACAAGGGAATGTACAAAGAAAAGATGTTTAGTTGGTTCACAGTTCTGTCTAAGAGCATGGCATGTGTCTGCTCAGCTTCTGGTAAGGGCCTTTTTGCTACATCATAAGATGGCAGAGGGCACTCCTTGGTGAGACAGAGCAAGGGTGCTATCTCAGGTCTCTTTTCCTCTTTGTAAAAGTCACTAATGTCATCATGGGGGCCCCACCCTCATGACATCATCTAATCCTAATTTCCTCCCAAAGGCCTCAGCTCCAAATACCATTAACATGTGAATTGAGGGACTAGGTCTCTAACACAGAGACTTTTGGGGGCACACAGCAGATGCCAGTACTGTGGTTAAATTCTCCCTTCTACCAGCTACCTACCTGCCTGCTACCCTGCATACTCTAGCTCTGGTACCAGCACAGAGAGGACAAAGTCAATGAGCTCAGGGTCTGAAAAGGGTCATTACAGAGACACCAGGGCTACACCATACCATAAAACACGCCCATGGGACTCAGTTTTCAGTGCATTTTACAAAAGATAAATCTGGGAAAGAAGTGGTGGCCCTGGAGAAGCCAACAGAGAGACTGCAAGGTGCTGACAGAGCTAGGTGTGGTGGCACACACCTAGAACCCCAGCTACTCAGGATGCTGAAGCAGAAGGACTACAAGTTTGAGGCCAGCCTAGGAAAATTGGTGAGACCTTCTCTCAAAATAAAAAGGCTGGGGATGTAGCTCAGTAGTACAGTGTTTGCCTAGCATGCATAAGGCTCGGGGTTCAATCCCCAGTACTACAAAAAAGGCGTTGTCTGAAATGGGCCTGGAAGACCAAGTACTCATTTTGGTGGAAAGTAGTATATAGAAGCCCAGCAGCACATTGAAGCATTTCTCAGTGTCTGTGTGAAGTCAGGTACCTTGAGAGTGACAGGTAATGGTTAAAAATGGGTTGGAAAAGGTCCTTGGTGTTATTTCATAAAGACCCTTGAAACTTAGCTGAACATACTGGCTAGGAGCCCAGAGTAAGGCAGAGTTGCTGGAGGTCAGGCCAAGGTTTGGGCATCAGGGCCTCTGGCTGCTTGGATGCTAGATGCCTTGGACTGAATATCTGTTTGGGAGCCATGGGAGACTGCTAAGCTGGAAGTATGATCTTGGGGTGGGACAGATCAGACAGCAAGAGCCCGGAGGCCAGAGCAGGCAGGAAGATGGTGCCTCATCTCTCAGGAAAGAGCCAAGCCTATGCTGAGGCAAGTGAGGCAGTGAAAGCAGTGGGATTGGGAATGACTGGCCATCAGAGGAGTGGAGGAAAAGGAGTGAGTGGTGGGGAAAACTGATGAGCTATTTTGAAGTAGTCAGCTGGACTAGTGATCTCTTTACGTGTACAGGGTATCCCCATTATATAGGGTATGAAACCAATTCCCAGCGAGGTTATGTGGCTTCCCATAGATAATACAGCAAGCTGGTAGTGTTGTTGGGGCTCTAAACCAGAACCTATGATCAAGACCAGAATCCATTTGGGGATGCAGAGAGGTAGAGAGCCAGAACTGATAAGACGCTCATTTCCTTAGAGTGAAGCATATCAGAAAGAAGAATGCAAAGAAAACTGCAAAGATCAAAGCACAAAAGAACCCTGAAGTCAGTAGGCCAGAACCCAAGATGTCTCCAAAGAAGGCTGAACCAGGGAAATCCATAACCACCCCATCTTCTGAGAACCAGATTTTGGTAGGTACCCATTATATTTGGAATCCAGTCTATCAAGATAAGATAATTAAGACTCAAAGACAGCCAGGTGCAGTAGCACATACCTGTATTCTCAGCAACTTGGGAGGCCGAGGCAGGAGGATTTCAAGACCAGCCTGATCACCAAGCAAGACTTTGTTTCAAAATAAAATTTAAAAAGGGCTAGAAATGTAGCTTGGTTGGTAGAGAACCACTGTGTTTAATCCTCTGTACTGCAAAAATAAAAATAAAAGTCCTACAGGAAGAAGTTAATACAGGGCTTGAGAAGAAGCTCCCCTATTCGGTATTGATATATAAACATAGAATGTGCTTACAGATCATTTTATAGGTGGTGAAGTTAAGGCCCCAGAGAGCCTTATGAAAGATGAAAATTAAGAGACATAATTTAAAGAGTAATCAGGATTGCAACAAACACACATGCACGCACGCACACACCCAGCACACTGAATCTCCACTGGGAAGAGAATTGGGGACCCCTAGCGATGGTTCTAGCATCAGAGTGGAAACCAAAGGTTGGCCTCTGGGTGTTTAGCAAGCAGTGTTCAGCACCTTGTAGATGCCACAGGCCCAAGACAGCCTGAAGTGCTTGGAGGCAGGCCACACCTCGGTTACTCGTTCATTCATACTTCACTCCCATCTTCTGCAGCACTTGAAAGGGAAAGTGCTGGAAGGTGCTAGACATCTATTGTTTACCATTTCTTACTCTCTAAGACCAGAAATCCTCTGCCACCCTCCAAGCACCCTATATGAAAAATTGGTGTCCCTTTATAGATTATATCTATTAAATACTACCAATGTTTCCTATCAAATCTCCTAATCTCTGCGCTGTGCAATGCTGGTGTCTCACCCAGGTCTTGCCCTCAGTGAGCAAACAGGATGGTAGAAAAGGCGCCTTCACAAAAAAAAAAAAAAAAAATCCATGGGGTTATGGTGGCCCAGAGGAGGGAAAGACCAAACCTATCTAAGAATGTCAAACAAGATGTCCCAGAGGAATCTGGGGAATAGTTTGGTGACACCTGGTACAGGGGATGCATAGGGGCAGGACCAGAGGAAGAAGACAGGCTGCAGGTTCCAATCATGGGATTATGAGCAAAGATTAAGCCAACACCTGATCCATGTTGCTTACCTCTGTACTCAAAGAGCTATCCTTTTAAGATGTGGATACTCACCTCTAGAATTGTTCCAATATCCTTCTTTCTTTGCCTGACTGTTCCATAGCTCCTTCCAGGAAAAGCAAGCTAAACTGGAGACAGTGAAGGCTGTGAAAACTCCATGACACCCAGAGTCCCCTGTATCCATGGAATTACAAAAGTCCACAAAACCCACTGAGTCCCTAGAAAGCATGGAGTTGATAATAAATTCAGAGCCATCAGAATCTCCACAGCTCACAAATTCCTCTCAACCCCTACATATCCCTTGTGGTGGTTCTCCATGGATTGAGGTTTACTCTTAAACCTGGTCTCAGAATCATTGTTGATAAACTGTGATTTGTTGTTTGGTTAGCCCCATTCTGTGATGGTGTCACAAGAAGGAAAAATACATGTGAAATGATGAGATAGCTCCATCAGGAAGGTGTTTTGAGCCTCTATCGTGGGACAAGAGATACACATACAAGAACACCAGGCATCTTTGGATCAAATCCCAACCTCAATGCTTAGTGACTGTATGCCTTTGGACAAGACCTCTCATCCCCCTCGAAACTTCAGTATCTTTACATGACATCCACCTGGGTGAGCAAAAATCACGAGCATGAGCAAAACAGTATCCAGAGATGAGAATGGAGAAGACACCACAATGGGCCTGAATGCCAGGACCTGGCACTGGAGCTTGATCTCATAGGGCATTATCCAGACTCTGAGAATGCAGTTCCATGGGAAGAAGGTCTTCATCTGTCTTGCTTTCTAGCTGTATTGCCAGTACCTATAATTGTGCTTAAAATATAAGAATCTCTCAAAATTCTTGTCAAATAATTACATGAATTAACAAGTGAATTATAAAGCATTGTTAAGGTTTGAAACAAGGAAGTGGGATGATGAGATATGGAAACAGATCCTGAAACACAGAGATGGAGATATGAGAGAGGCAAAGAGAGTCCTCGGGAGATTATTGCAAAATTTCTTGGCCAAGCTGAAAAGTAGGCAAGCAAGGAGTGAGAACAGGATTCTGGCATTAGGATGTACTATGGCTATGCACTGTTCCCTTCAGAATGAAAGACAACCCCCTCCTTCTGGATCCAGATGTCAGTAGTTTTCAGTAATTGAAAGAGGATCATCTCTTCCCTATGAGTGAACAGTGATCCTGCAGCACCAGTGAGAGACATCTTGTACTCAGAGTAGATGCTTTTATAACTCCCACATGTACAAGCAGCTGTCACATGCAGTTCACATTCTCCACAGAAGTATAAGCACCCAGTTTGTGCAAGATAATGGCCACGTCCCCATGGAGTTGGTCTGCGTGAGTATACCATGAAGACATACACACAAATTTATAGTGTAAAACATTGAGCCAGATATGGTGGTGCACACGTGTAATCCCAGCAACTTGGGAGGCTGGGGCAGGAGGATCTCAAGTTTGAGGTCAATCTCAGCAACTTAACCAGACTGTCTCAAAATTTAAAAGAGCAAGTGAGAGAGCTGAGAATATAGCCCAGTGGTAGAGTGTCCTTAGGTTCCATCCCCAGTACCAATAAATAAATAAAATATTGATAAGTGCTAGGAAAGAAAAGAACAATACTGTGAGAAACTACAGGAGAGGAACATGTATCAGAGAAGGCTTCTCAGAAAAGGTGTTGTGTTGGTCCTGAATTATTATTAGGAGCTAGCCAGAGGGAACAGCAGATGCTAGCCTGAGATGGGGGAGGTTTGGTGAGTTTAAAAGCCTAGGGCAGGCTCACGTGGCTGGAGCTCAGAGGAGCAGAACTTACAGGGACTCCAGTGCTCTAGTGAGTTTAGCCTCACTCCTGGGGGGTTGTTTCCTCTCTTGCTTTGTAATTTTGGAAAATGGGTTCATATCCAGAGTGACTATCTATACGAATCTTGCATAGCAGAAGTCTTGAGTTATGATCCTCTTTAAAGGTTCGACGTTTGCTTCTACTAAAGAAACACAATCTGCTTGAGACAAACAAGAGGACAAGGTTGGGGAGAGGAAGCGTGGTAGGCGTGGGAAGCGAGAAGAGAATGAGATCAAATGAGTGGGAGAGAGGACCGGGTCTCAGCTGGGGCTCGGTCAGGGCTGGCTGGGCACGGGAATGGAGAACAGGGCTTCCTCACGTGCCTCGGTTTGTTGGCAGCAGGGGCCTGGGCTGCAGGACAGGAAACGAGGGGATGGACAGATTGCCTTCTGATTGGTCCTGAGGGTGAAGCGCTGGACTCCAGTTCCTTGGTTGACGGCTTTCCATCAGTCCCTCACCCGCTTGCCCACTGGGTCGAGAGAGCCGGGTCCTTTAACAGCTCATTGGCCAGGGCTGGCAAGAGTCTAGAACCATCTGGACCACTGGACGCCAGCTGGACCACAGAGTAGCCTGTCGAGAGCACTGGCTCCGGCGGAGGAGACCAAAGCGTTCCACGCGGCCCGGCCCGGCCCCGCCCCGCCCCATCCCAGCGGTCCCCGCGCTTCGCCGGCCCTGATTGGCTCTGCACAGCGCGCGCATGCCCGTTGGACGCCCGTGGGCGGGTCATCGTGGGCGGGGCTTAGTGGGCTGGTATCCCCGGATGACCTCCAGGGCCGAGGTTGGTGACGCTCCGCGGGACTCTCAGACGGACTGACAAGCTGATCCGCTGATCAGTTAGCCTTCCGCGACCTTGGTCCCTTGCCCTGTGTGACAAGGACATTGACACAGTTACTCCGCGTGCCAGTTCATTGGGCTGAGTCCTTAAATCCTGGACCAGTCTGTCCCTCTGGAAAGTAGTTTCTCCAGGCAGGGTCGCTGTAACTGTCACCTGTGCTTTCAGCCCAGCTGCGGAAGACAGGAAATAGCCAGGGGGAGACCCTGAGGAAGGGCCAGGCTGGAGCGCTCAGAACCTGAGACCAGGAGGTAAAGTTGGTAAAGGAAACGACTGTGTAGGGGAGGGGAAGGAGGCTGCCGTGAAGCCAGCCCAGGGAGCTTCAGCCCTGGGGAGGAAAAGAGAGAGAGGAGATCAGACTGTTGGGTCTGCAGGACGGCCGCAGGCTCTGCAGAGAAATGCTCCAGTTTACAGATGAGGAACCGGAGATGGGAGGGACTTGCCGGAGCTATCCACCGAGTCACTGGCAAAGCCCCAGCTGGAACCAGCCTCTTCCCAGCCTTCAATTTGAGGTTTTAAATTAGAGGAAAAGGAAGGAATTGGACAGTGAAAAAACTTGAAAAGCGGAAGTTGGGTTTGAAGGAGAGAAACAGTTGATCCTCTGGAAGCCTGGGGCACGCCCTTGCTGAGAGAAGGAGGAAGTTGGTTCACTAACCAAAGCATCACTGGAAAGAGTCAAATGCCTGTAGTGACCAGACAGGGTAGAGTGAAGGATGATGGACACTTGGTTATTCAGTGCTTACGTTTACATCCGTGAACTCATTTAATCTTCCCAGTGATTCTACAGGTTGGGTACTGTTATAATCTACCAGTTACAGGTGAGGAAACCCAGGCCTAGAGAGGGGACATAACTTGCTCACAGTCACATAGCTGGCAAGTGCTGGAACTAGGCTTACACTCAGGCAGGCTGACTCCAGAGCCACAGTCTTCACCACTGTGCTTTGTACACCTCCTAGGAGTGGGAAGGATGGGAGAACATGCCACTCCTGTCATTCTAAAAGAAAGATGGCAACACAGTATTGGCAGGGGGTTATAAAATACCAAGAGGTATTATGTAGAAAAACAGTAGCTTGAAGGACAGGAGATGACATAGAAATATAGTGTTACAAAGGATTTTTGTTGTTGTTGTTGAGAAGGAGGTTACCAGGGATTGAACCCAGGTGTGCTCCACCCCTGAGCCACATCCCCAGCCTTTTTTAAATTATTTTTTATTTTGAGACAGGGTCTCACCAAATTTTTGCTTACAGCCTTGCTGGGTTGCTGAGGCTGGCTTTGAACTTGTGATCCTCCTGTCTCAGCCTCCCAAGCTACTGGGATTTCAGGCATGTGCCACTGAACCTGGCTAAAGTTTTTTTGCTATATGTGAGATAGTGTATTATTTGAAGATAGATGGTGCTAAAGATTTGAAGAGATATATTGTATTCCTTTAGCAACCACTTAAAATTATCAAAAGACATAACCAAAAGGCCAATAGTGAAATACAATACTGTCTTAATCCAGTACTAGACAAGAAGAGAGAAAAGGATGAAGAGCAGATGGGACAAATAGAAAACAACTAGGAAGATAGTACATTTCAAGGCAACCATATCAATAATTGTATGAACTATGAGTAATGTAAGCATTCCAAACGAAAAGCATAGTTTTCTGATATTCATAATTTGTGACTTCTTTTTTTTCTTGGTCAGTTTATTCAAGGTTTATCAATTTTATTGGATGTTTTTCAAAAAACGAATGTGAGAGTTTTATGTGCCAACTTGACTGGGCTAAGGGATGTCTAAATAAATTCCTGGTAAAATGGCAAAATATTTCTGGGGGTGACTATGTGGTATTTCCAGAAGAGACTGATGCTTTAATTGGTGGACTGACTAAAGAAGACCCCCCATGAGCTGTGTAGGTGGACATCATTCAATCCACTGAGGGTCGGAATAGAACAAGGAGGTAGGAGAAAGTAAACATCCTCTCTTCTTGAGTTGGGCACATCCGCCTTCTCCTGCCTGTGTTGGAGCTCCTGGTTCTTGGGCCTTTGAACTCAGATTGGATCCCACCCCTGGCTTTCCTCGTCTTTCAGCTTGTAGAGGCAGATCCTGTGACTTGGAGGCTTTCCAAATCACATAATTGGCAAAAATTTAAAATATTTTTCTAATTTCCCCTCTCCCAAGTAAAATTTCAATAAATTTAAGAAATGCCAAAAGAGAAGAAAAGATATACTGCTGGGTGTAGTAGCTCAGAAGGCCGAGGCCGGAGGATCTCACGTTCAAACTCAGCCTCAGCAGCTTAGCAAGGCTGTAAGCACTTTTGTTCCCAGCTTATAAAGAGCATTTTTCTCCAGCAAATATTTAGTAAGACCCTGTCTCTAAATAAGATATATTTTAAAAGGGCCAGGGATGTGGCTCGGTGGTTAAATGCCCTGGGTTCAATCTCGATACAAAAAAAAAAAAAAAAAAAGGAAAGAAAAGAAAAAAAGGTCTAAGATTGTACCTCAGTGGTAAAGCTCCCTGGGTTCAATCCAAGTAAACAGTCCCAAAATAAACAAATAAATAAATAGACTTTTTAGAGCTCTAGCCAACTTCCACTTGTGCAGTATTGATCACAACTGTGTCACATGGCCACCAGTAGCTACAAGGAAAACTGGGAGAGCATCCATGATCCCTGGTCTCCTAGTAGTAGCTGGAAATGTCCATCAGGTCAGCCAGAAAGCAGTACTGGACACAAGGAACAGCTGAAGCTCAAACTCGGCCATCCCAGGCCCAGGCCAGTGCTCTTTACAAGCCGGGAACAAACATTTATTGGACAAGAACCTGTCTTAGCATGGAGGACCCACAGATCTATAACGTAGGCCTTTCCCCAAAGGAGCCCACTCTTGGGTGGATTCCCTAGATAGTTATTTCACCATTTTCCTACTAGAGTGACAGCCAGATGAAGGGGCATGGGGACAGCCTAGAGGATGGTGTAGCAACTCCACCAGGCCATTAGGGCACCAGGCTCCTGTGTGAGTGTCACCGCATCCTCGCACCTCTGGTTTCAACCTCGTGGTGGCCCGATGGCTGTTCCGCCTCCAGCATCACACCCATATTTCAGGAAAAGGGAGAAGAAAGCAACAAGGAAGAAGTAGTGCCAACATCAGAACAAGTGAAATCTCCAGCAGGGAGCCTCCTGGGTTTGGTATTTTACGTAAAAACGTCTTTCACAATCCTTGCTTGATAATCTAGCAGGAGAGTGCAAAGGAGCCGCAGACAGCACGTGATTTAGGAAAGCGGAGATGTCAGGTACGGTGCTACTGTCACCTGAGCCATCACCAAGGAGGACAACCCATCAGAATTCTGTTTTGTTTGGATCATTTTCATAAGACATGGAATGATTTCTAATGTTTTTGGAGTCTCGTAAGACCATTTTATTTAAATTGTTCTTCCAAGGGCAGATTTGTATTAACAAAGACTAGAAGCTGTCAGTAATAGTCATGAATATTCATACCAAACTGCATATTGCAGAGGAGAACATAAATGATACCCTAATAAATGTTCTCTGTTTTGCACAGTATCAAATCCAATTCCTCGAGCCATTTTATAACACCCAACAAAATCTGTTGATTTATTGCTGCAGGGAAAGGAATGTCTCCTTCAACTCTTTCTGAGACTAGTTTACTTTATTGTGAAAACTTAGTTTTTTTTTTTTTTTTTTTTTTTTGAACCAGCTCTGGGATTTTATTAGCTAATATTCCAGGCAAAGAACAGGCTTTCAAAGCTCAATCTTGATGGCATAAAGGGAGGAGGATGAATAGGTGTTTATTTGCTGATAATAATTTTATAGCATTTGTCTTCCACCTGGTTCACTGGCCAGCGCTGTCACATTTACACTCTTAGGCATAAAAGAGACAGAAAAACAGAGGGTTTTGTTTGTTTGTTTCAAACTTGGGATTTGATTGCCTGAACAAATCTGAAATAAGGACCCCAGGAGGCTGGGTATCAGGTGAGTCACCCTCAGGACTGCTTGAAACACTGCCTTAGAAGAGGCCTCAGAAGCTGATGAAGAGCCTCTGGGGTCCAGGTTGTAGGGATCCAGAGAGGAATTTCCAGCAGGAAGTTACCTTTGACCTGGGCTTAGAGGGAGGTGGGATTCAAAGTAGGCAGAAGAAAGAGTCATAAAAGGCAGTGGCCCAAGCCAACACAGAGAGGTAGGAACGTGTGGCGTATGTGTAGAAAGGACGCGTTTTCCTCTTTGGCTTGGAAAGGATGATAGAGGCATACGGACAGCCTGGAGGATGTTGTAGCAACTCCACAAGGCCATTAGGACACCAGGCTCCCTGTGTGGGTTTCAACCACAGCCATGCTCCATGCTCCACCCTGACCCAGGGAATGGGTACAAACCCTACTCTCTAGATGCACAGAGCAGATACTGAGGACCTGAGGTAGGTCTGTCAAGTTAGATCCCTCCCTACATGTTTTACATGTTAGACTTTCTTCTGTATTGATGGAAGTCAAGAATATACCAGTGAGACTCCGGAGCTTGAGGCAGGAGGATTGCAGATTCAAGGCCAGCCTCAGCACCTTAGCAAAGGCCCTAAGCAACTATGCAAAACCTTGTCTCTAAATACAATACAAAAAGGGGTTGGGGATGTGGCTCAGGGGTAAAGCGCTCCGGGATTCAATCCCTGGTACCAAATATATATATGTATGTGTGTGTGTGTGTGTGTGTGTATACACACACACACACACACACACACAATCAGTGAATGAGTGTGTGCTACAATTCCCTATGGGAATTTCCCAAAGAATCCCCAGGCATTCCATGATGGTAAGCTACTGGCTCAATGAAAACATCAGCTTCTCTGCGGCTGCAGATGAACCCAGTGCCACCACTGCTGGTGATGCCGGGGACGGAGTCCCCCATTGGAAGGAGTCCTGAGGAACAAGACTGGGCCCTGCAGTCCGTGATATACTGGAAAGAACAGCGTGGCTGCTTGTTCTACACAGATCTAAGAGAACAAAATAGTGCTGTCCCTGAGGGATGATGCTGAACTCCGAGTGTCAGGTGATCTTCAGTCTCTTGCACTAAGTGCTTTGCAAAGAGGGAAATCCAGAGGGGGTTCTGGTAATTGTGTCACTTTTACTTCACCAGGTACTTTACAAAACCTTGAATATTAAATTTTTACATGAATAATACTGTTAGATAAATGGAGCTGTTACTTTATTTTTTGGAATAGAAATGCCAAAGAGAAGGGAAGTGACTTTCCCAGCAACTTCCAGCTCGTAATAAAGAGGGGGACATGATCACAGACCAGGCAGGAAGGGGCAGAGCCTGAGGAGGAGTGGGGTGGTGGGAGGAGATCCAGAGGAGCTAGCACTGGGGACTCAGTCTGAGGACAGCTGAGGGACCAGGAAAGCAGGTTCTCAGAACAGGTGCTCAACCTCAGTCTCAAAAGTGCAGAGGTCAGGTTCCAGCTCTGCCTCCTACGTGAGCCTCTGAAGCGCACTCACCCTTGCCACGAGGTGTGCCCTCTCCGTGCACAGAAAGGAAGTCTGGGTGTGAAAGTCCACGCCAAGATCACAATCCCAGGTTCCATGATGATGTTGGGAGGGTGGCAGCGGGGAGGGGTTCTAGATGGAAACACTGCAGCAGTGCAGTGTCCACCAGGGTCTCTTGACCCCAAGTGTGAATTCCCTCTCTCTCTTTCAGACCTGACCCAGAACCAGACCTCTACATCCCAGGATTCCTGCAGCGAGGGAGGTGACCTTGACCTGCACCATCCAGACATCCACAAAGAGATCAGTTCCTGGAAGGAACCACCATGTCCTCCAATACTGCTGTCTCCAGCAATGACTCCTCTTCCTCCTCCTCCTCTTCCTCCTTTTCCTCTTCCTCCGGGCTGCACCTCACCCTGAAGCCCGAGGACCATGGCACCATCATTGGGTGTCACTTGAACTTCTCCCTAGAGAACTCAACCAGAAGTAGCCTGGCCAAGCTCCAAGCGGTCTGTGAGTGCTGGGGACATGGGAAAATGGTGACCCCAAGAGAAAGTCCTGGGTCCTTGATTGCAACAGTCACATCTCCCCTACCCTCTGGGCCCAAGAGGTCAGGGTTAAGAGCAGAGCCCGAGTTTGGGGCAGATGATGGGGAGCCTCTCTGCGTCCCAGCCCCACTCTGAGATTCTGAAACTCCTTGAAAAGAACAACTAAGGGGCTGGAGTTGTGGCTCAGCGGTAGAGCGCTCACCTAGCACCTGTGAGGCACTGGGTTCCATCCTCAGCACCACGTAAAAATAAATAAAGATATTGTATTCACCTAAAAATTAAAAAATAAATATTTTTTTAAAAAGAAAAGAACAACTAAGGGGAGAGCTGGGTCCTGGGGGGGAGCAGGGAAGCCGGGTGCTTTGCTGACTCCCACTCCCTCTCCACAGCACCTGCCAGGCTGCTCAACTCCTCTTGCTCCTTGGAGAAGACGCTGCAGTGCAGCTGCTCCTTCCACGGGATCCCCACGCCCTCTGTGCAGTGGTGGGTGGGCGGTGTCCCTGTGGATGTGAACAGCGTGGATGGTGGCCTCCAGGTGACTTCCACCACGCTTGGCCCCTGGGCCAATAGCACCATCAGCCTCAGGGGGGATCCAGAAATAGTCAGGAGGCTGCACTGTGCAGGCAGGAATCCGTATGGAATCCACACTTGCAGCATCTTCCTGATACCAGGTGAGTGTACTGGGGCCTGCGAACCCCCACCACAGTGAAGACACCTCAGGACCAGGACGGGATGGGCCCAGGGTGGGAGGAGAGAGCACAGACCTCAAGGCCCTAGGAGAAAACCAACCCTCTCTTCCCCATCACAGGTAAGAGCTCCGTTTCCAGCATGTTCCTGCGAGGGCTGGTCCAGGGCACGGTGTACGGGGCCATGGCGTCCGCGCTGCTCCTCTTCTGCCTTGTCCTCCTTGCGTGAGTACCAGAGTTCAAGGGCATCGCCAGCCTGCCCAGTGCACGCTGCCTTTTTTATTTCCCTCCCTGTACTTTCTTCCAGTTCATTTTGTCTGTCTCCCTTCTCGAAAGGGACTGTATGTCCTTGACCCTTGTGCTTGATCTGCATTGAAGGCTGCAAATCGCCCTCTAAGCACCACTTTAACTGCACCTCATGGAGGTTGATATGAATTACTTATATTCTCATTTGGTTAGGATATTTCTAATTTCCATGATAATTTTTTGACCCACGGGCTTTTGTAGATACCAATATTTTCTAATGATCTTTTTGTTTCTAGCTTAAATTCAATAAGATGAGAAAATATCCTATGTATTACTTCAATTTCTCATTTTCTTTGTAGCACAATTTTTGTTTAGTTTTTCATACACATTCCATGTGGGCTTAAAAAGAATATGTTACTCTACATTTGTTGAATTATCCATGATTTGTAGATAAAGGATTCATCCAGGATCATCATTTGTCTTTGATATGTCTGTGATTCGTTAACCAAGATCCATCCAGGGAGAGGCGAAGGGGCCCATCCACGCCCGCACACAGAGACAGGAAGCCCCTTGTAGGACATGCAGACTTTTACCCATAATGTCAAGATAAAACAGAATGTGTAAAATAAAAAGTCCCCAGACAAAGCTGCACACATGGCGACAGGGTGGTAAGCTATGGACAAGCAGGGTGGGGGCGCCTGGCTGAAGGGCCGGGTGCCACAGGAGACCTGGAGCTGGGGAGGTGCAGGGCCATCTCTAAGGCCAGGTGGGGCACAGACTGGAGGCCGGGAGAGGGTCCACACCCAGAGAGCAGGGGTTTGTGTCTGTCCGCTGGGGTGAAGCAGGCAGTGCTGATCACAGAGGGAGCAAGAGGAAGGGCCTGTTCTTCTGGCTCCGGGCTGAGCTCCCTGTGGGAATAGTGGGGGAGGCAGGGACTGCAGTGGGGGCGGGACTGAGCCCAGCACTCACCTGAGGGCTCACTGCCTTAGGATGAAGATGCTTAGGTGGAGGGCCAAAGAAGCCCTGGCCCTCAGGAGACCAGAGTTGCTGGGGCAGCCAGAAGCATCCAGTGTATTGGAAGCTGCAACCCCACAGGCCTGGGCTGGAGGTAAGTCCCTGTGCCAGGCTGAGCCCAGCCACCAACCTGCGGGGCTGCAGGCCAGGGCCACACTGGCCCAGCAGAACCCCCCGGGGGCACTTATTAGGGACCGGTTTCTACCCAGCCCCCACACAGCACCCTTGCGCTGGCAGCAAGCTCTCCAACTCCTTCCCAGTGTGACAGGCCGGCACGAGGGGCTGCGCCAAGGTCCCTCAGAGCAGGGGAGCCCTGTGCTGCCCCTGATGAGGACCCTCCTCAGGGCATCAAGCCCAGCCCCCAGCCCTTGGGGAAGGCCCTGCGGACGCAGGACAGTGAAGACTGGCAGCGGGGCTTCATTACTCTGCTGGGGCTGCCACAATAGAGCAGCACAGACTGGGAGCCTTCAAACACCGCAATGAACTTTCTCAGATTCTGGAGACTAGAACTGGAGATCAAGGTGTGGGCAGGGCCCGCGGATGCCCCGCTCCTCCCTGCATCCTCACACGGCCTTCCCCTGTGTGTCCGTGTCCTGACCTCGTCTTACAGCGCACACAGGATTAAGACCCCCACCTGACTCCACTTTAGCGTGATTACCTGTGTGAATCTGTCTCCCCTAATACAGTGGCACAGTGAGGTGCGGGGGGTTAGGACTTCAAAAGAGAAGCCAGTTCCACCCACAGGAGAGGATTAAAGGGCTGAATGGATCCCAGCCTGTGTGAGGCCCAGCGAGGGCAGGAGGCTTGCCCAAGGCAGAGGGGCAGAGCGTGTGCTTCCCCCACAGCCCAAGGCTCTGGCAGGAGAAGGCAGAGAGTTGTGAACTAGAGGATCACGACGCGCTTTGGCGCCACCAGTCCCGCCCAGCCTGCACAGACTGCAGGGCAGGAGGAGACTCCAGCCCGAGCTCCAGGCCCGGGGCCCGGCTGCCTGGCTCTCACCAGTTGCTGGACAAACCTCCTCTCCCAGGCCCCCACCTGCCAGGCCCTGGGCGGGGACACAGAGGAGTCAGAGCCAGGTCCTGCCCATTTGGAACTCCAGGTCCTCACAGCCCTGGAACTGCCTGGGGGCTGGGGCTGGCCTGCGGAGGGAGGGCTTGGCAGTGTACCTGAGCTGTGCAGACTCGCAGGGAGGTGGCATTCCCCACACAGCAGGGACTCAGAGAGCCCGGGCAAGGGCAGGACAGACCATCCCGAGAAATGAGCCGGCTGACCCTCGTGTAGCCAGATCACCTGCTGTCTACTCTTAGCAAAGCTCCTGAACACAGTACCATCAGCTGCAGCCCCAGGGTCATGTGAGCCCTGGACCTGTGCACCCTGCGTATCTCCTCATTTGTGTCCCTTCACCATGTCTCCCTGTTTCTCCTCGCCCCTGGTAATCACTGTTTTTTTTTCCATTTCTGTGTTTCACATGGTTGTTTTAGATCCTACAGATGAGTGAAATCATGCAGTGTTTGCCTTTTGGTGTCTGGCTTCACTTAAGAGTGTCCCCAGGTTCATCCAGGACAAACGGCCAGGTCCCTCTCTTTTAAAGGCTGTGTAGTATTCCAGTGTGTGTGTGTGTGTGTGTGTGTGTGTGTGTGTGTGTGCGTGCGCGCGTCCCTTCTTTCTGACTCTTTCCCTTTCTTGCTCTTCCCTCCCCTCCTGCATTTGCTCATTTCCCACCTGACCCCAGGTGCCACACTACACAGGGCACTGCAGGGACCCGGCCCAGATGGGCCAACACCCCGCAGACCAGGACAGACTTACCACGTCTGGATGCAGGTGGGACCATGCATGTGTCCGAGGATACCTGTGTTGCCCTCTAGGCCAGGTCACTTCCGGCTCCTGGAGGAGCTCTGTGGGACCAAGAGGAGAGCCAAGCCCTCAGGGAGCAGCTCCTGCTCTCATCAGCGCTCAGTTGGGGGGACAGGTAAAAGCCCAGGAGATGGAGATGGACAGCCCCCGGCAGCCCGTGCTTCAGAAGGCGGTGGGAGCGACCGTGGAGGAGGCGCTGGCCGGGACTGGGCACGCTCCCAGCCCCGCACACCATCGCCCACCTCCCCCAGCAGCCCATGCACCTGGCCAGGTTAGCAGGCCCACGTTACAGAGGAGGAAACGGAGGCCCAGAGGGGGCAAGAAGCCACCCAAAGGAAGCACCCAACGTTCCCAGTGGGCCCCATCCTTACCCACGAGGAAACTGCAGTACAGAAAGCAGAGGGTCCGTCCCAGGGCCTCAGCCTGAGGGGCAAAGGCAGATGGTCTCCTGCCCTCTCCTGCCCTCTCCTGCCTGCTCCAGGGCCACACCCATCGGGCTCCACCCACAGGGCTCCACCTCCAGGGCCAGGCCAGGCTGCGCCTCCCACCCCACCCCTAAGTCCATTCACCTGCACCCTGCTTGGTTGGAGGATGGCCAAGGGTAAGGCTGCCACCATCTCCTGAGAGGGGACAGCACCCCCCCCCATGGGTCACGGCAAAGAGTATGCACCTGTGGTCAGCCACGGGGATGTTGGAGCCAGGCCACGTGTTAGGATCCCAGTCCTGGCCCTGAGCACGGGGTAGCTGTGTCCCTTTCCCAGCCTGCATCACAGCCAGGTGAAGAGTGCCTGGTCACTTGGCAGCCAGCCGGGCGGCGTGGGCACCACAGCAGCAGCCCTTGCCTCCCGAGCCCTGTGTCCACGCCGGCCACATTCTGGGCATGTTCCATGGATGCTCCCATTTGTATCTGTCCAGGCTCCACCAGCGGAACAGCTCCAGCAGCAGACCCACCCTGAGATCCTCGGCAGAGATGGGCTCCCGTGATGGGGACGGTTGGCAAGGCAGGTGCCGGAATCCGTGCTCCCCAAAAACTCCTGTGTTGAAATCTGACCCCCAGATTTGGGGAGGTGATTAGGTCATGAAGACTGAGCCTTCACAAATGGGACAGATTCCCTTAAAAGGCAGAGTCCTCCATCTGCCACATGAGGACGCGGTATAAAGACCCCATCTGTGAACCAGACGCAGCCCTCACCAGACACCAAATCTGCTGGCACCTCAGTCTTGGACTTCCCAGTCTCCAGAACTGTGAGAAAGAAACCTCCGTTCCTTATAAGCCTCCCAGTCTGTGGTGTTTTATTACAGCACCTGGAGCTGACTAAGACAGCAAGTCGGAAGTCTGCAGGGAGGAGACTCAGGCAGCAGCTGGAGCTGTGGTCCCAAGCAGAACCTCCTGCTCCTGGGGAACCTCCGCTCTGCTCTTACGACCTGTCAGCTGATGGAATGAGTCTCGCCTACGCCGTCACGATGATCTTCACTTACAGTCACCAGATTAGAACCACAACAACCACCCAGGGAACTGCATGAGAGGCATGCGTTAGTTTGCTTGACTGTAGCCATCAGCTCGCCTGTAAATGTGCCTGAGAGTGTCACGTTGGGCACCGTGAACATGAACAGTAAAGTCAGTTGATTAGAAACGTCAGTCACTTCTACAAATACCTTTGGGACCACACCTCTTCCAGTGTTTGATCAAACAACTGGGGACCCCTGCTGAGCCAGGCCAACACCCACCACTGACCACCACACCGCTGGATCCTCGCAGCCCTGGGAGCTGGGCCCCAGGGTTACCCCATCCTGTGGGGAGGATGAGACTGAGAGGGGTAAGGAGCTGGGCTGATGGACCCTCCCCATCCACCCTGTGGATGACGACATTCAGCGAGTGACTTCAACCAGGGGCAGGGCACAAAAACAGAGAGTGTGTCCCTGTGTGTCTGTCATGCCTGATCTTGTCCCAGAGGGGGGGATCTTTGAGGCTGAGGGGCATTTGGTCAATGAGCAGGGTGGAGGCTCCTACCCTTCAAGCACACTTTGAGTGCCTGCTCTGTGCCCGGCCCTGAGGACAGAGCCCCGAGGGAGGCGGACTGGCCCCTGCCCTCGTGGAGTCCCTGAGGGAAGACACGGCACAGGCAGAAATTATAACAGACATCAGGGATGCGGAGGGCCAGAGAGAGAGGTGGAGAAGACAGGGGTCCTGGCCCAGCCTGGGTGGCCGCAGAAGGGCTCTGTGTGGAGGTGACAGGCAAGGGAGTGAGAGGAGGGTCCCTGCAGAGGACCAGGTGAGAAAGACCCAGGGCAGCCAGAGCTGACGCAGCCAGCCCGAGAGTCTCCGGAGGGAGGCCGGGTTCCCAGGGCACGCTGAGGCCCGCCGAGGACTCACCGGTGGGTGAAGCCCGACTCCTCCTCAGTCCCCTCCCAGGAGGCAACACCGTCCTTGGTGCCCTGTGCTCCCTTCCCGAGGCCGTCCCCAGCTGGGAGCTCTGCCCTCACGGGGCGGGGAGAAAGGCTGCTGCTTGGGAGGCCGAGGCTGCTGCTGGCACCTGCAACACACAGGACGCTCCGGCACCAGGGACCGTCAGCCAGGGGGGCCACGGTGTCGAGGTGGAGCGGCCCTGGCTAGGGGCTGACGCACACGCAGGCCCACGGTGTGCTGCTGCACCTCCAGACTCATCACGCAGTGTCATGTGCTCAGCGTCCTCAGAACAAGCCCTCGAACCCGCCCCAGATCAGTGTCCTTTGGATGTGGTTTGTCCCGCGGGGGGTTCATGTGCCAGAAGCCCAGTCCCCAGTGTGGCTCTACTGACATGTGGCAGGACGGTCACAGGTGGAGCCTAGTGGGGGGTGTGATGGAATGACCGTGGTGGCACCACCCTCAGGAGGGACTAATGTGGATCTCCAAGGGAGTGGTTAGGTCTCCCGTGGGGCTGGGTTGGTTCTCAGGAGACTGGGTTCTTTAAAAGAGTGGCCCTGACCCCTCCTTGGTCTCTTGCTCACTCTTTGGCCATGTGGGTTTCCTCAAATATGCTCCCTCCATGTGATGCCATCTGCCATGTTGGTCCCAGAGGGGTGTCAGAAATCGTGCTGTTTGGACTGTCACGCCGTCAGAATCATGAGCCAAATAAACCTCTTTCTTTGTACCTTACCCAGCATCGGGCATTTTGTTATAGCCACACAAGTGGACCAGGACCCCCAGGGCATGGATGCAGCCTTCCTGGTGATGGGCGTTCAGGCAGACCGTCCTCCCTGAGCACAAGGGACAACCCTAAGCTGCTGATCCTTGTCTGTCGCCTTTGGGCAGGCATGAGATAACTCTGCAGGAGAAAACTTGGGGCGTGGACTTTCCAGGTCATAGAACAGTTACATCACTTTCATGGATCAGGCCAAATTGCCCTCCACAGAAAGGGAGCCGACGTCATTCCTGTCAATAACTGGCAGTGCCAATCTCCTGTGAAACCAGGCTCCTTTTATTGCCCATACAATAGATGAAGAAATAGTATCTGTGGCCATTAAGGTTCTTTACTTTGCTTATTTGCTGTGAAATTGAGCATCTTTCACACTCTTGCGCCTTCCAAGCATTGTCACTTGGGCTTCCGGCCGCCACCCAGACCCTATGAAACCTTAGCATAAAGGAGCACACTCAGTGAGCAACAGCGGAGCCACTAATGGCGCTCGGTCAGCAGGGTCCTGCCAGGGAGGAGTCAGCCCCTTGCAGTGGTACTTCTTAAACAGACTTTCTAATAAAGGCACCACTTACAGGTGTGTGCGGGGTCACAGACACAGACGGTCCCCAACCTAAAAGGGGTCACTTCACAATAAACCCGTGGTGAGTTGAAAATACCATAAATTGAAAATGCAGTCCACACACCAACTGAGCATCCAGCTGAACAGCACAGTGCACGGCAGTGATGCCAGTTACTCACCCTTGGGACCCCAGGGCTGATGGGGAAGTGGCCCTATGGGCATGTGACAGTCCCACGCAGCCTGTGACCAGCCCAGGAGAAGGTCAGATTCCAAACTCAAAGCACAGTCGCTCCTGAATCAAAAAACAGTAAGTTGAGCCACCCTAAGTCAGGGTCTCTCTGCCCAAGGAATGGGAAGGCTCCCAGCTTCCAGCAACAGGAGGGAGGGTCCTTGTCAGGTTCTGCTGAGTCCTGGAGGAACAGGGGGGAGAAATGGCGTAGCTGCCACCTGCAGAGGATGCCGATCACCAAGAGGGGCTGCCTGCGGCCTCCACTGCCAGAACTGAACCATGGTGGGGCGGCGGCCCAGGGGTGTACTCTCCAGCCACCCACCAGCCTTCTGTCCGTGCCTCCCTTTGTCCAAGCTGACCTGGAGGATGAAGGGCAAGGGAGCTTGCAGATGTGGTCAAGGTCACCCCTGGGCATGAAGCAGGCAAACAGAGGATGGGGAGGGATGTGGTGTGCTGGCCTGAGTAAGGGTTCCCAAGGACATCAGGTCGGAACCCTGGAGCCTAGCAAGTTTATGAGACGTGATGACATGAATAAAAAAAATTAAAATGTGATGAAGATAAGGATTTTGAGATGAGATTATCCTAGATTATGCAGCTCTATCCTAAATGCAATCCCAAGTGTCCTTCTGGGAGGCAGAGGGAAATTTGAGCAGAGACAGAAGACAGAAGGCCATGTCAATACACCCAGAAACTAGGCAGATCTGGCAGGAAGCCAAGGCACAGGGCAGGCACCAGAAATGGAAGGCAGGAAATGGATTCTCCCCTTAATGCCTCTGAGGGAGTATGGCCCTGTTGACACTTGATCATGGATTCTGACCTCCAGAATTGCAAGAGAAAAAAATGTGAGGTTTTTTTTTAAATTTTTTTTTGGGGGGGTTGTAAATGCTTTTCTTTCTTCCTTTCTTTTTTTCTTTCTTGTGCTGAGGATTGAACCCATTGCCTCACACATATTAGGCAAGCGCTCTGCCACTGAGCTAAAGCCCCAACCCCATGTGAGTTGTTTTGAGCCACCAAATATGTGATAATTTGTTACAGCAGCCACAGGAACTAATACACATGGGAGCGGGCATGTGCACTAGAGACAGCCCAGTGGCACGCCCTCACGGCCCTCACCCTGAGCCAGATGCTGAGCGAAATGCTTTCCATGCATGAGGCAACTTGCTTACTTCCCAGGGCAACTCTGTTGGGCCACAGCCACCATCTCCAGTGAGGGCTGAAATCAGCCTAGGGAAGGAGGCCCCTTTTCCAGGGTAGCTCCTTTGAGTACCCTCTCTGAGTCCTAGGCCATACTTTTGAGTTCTTCTTTACCCCTCTATAGAGGACCACCTGTTACCGTCACTAGTTCCTTAAACTTTCTGTGTTCAATTTAGAACATTTGGCAGGGCAAGTTGCTAATCTTTCTGTGCCTCAAAAAAACTGGGCTTATTAACACCTCCACTTCACAGAGTTACCCTGAGGTTTTCTGGGTTGCCAGGCCAGCGCTGATCCACAGGTGCTGGCAGGCAGAAGACCCTCCACAGCGCAGGCAGGGCTGAGGCCAGGAGACTCGAGCTGGGACAGACTGGGAAACCATCTAAAGGGAAGCCACTGAAACCTGATGGAGTTGAGCACCCTGAATGTCCCCTTTACCTGTCTCCAGTGACCTCAAGACAGGAGCACAAAGCAGCCCACATAAAAATCAAACCACAGAGAACCCGGCTCCTCCCACAGAGTCCCTCTGGCTCCTTCTGCTGCAAAGGAAATATATTTAAAGTCTGCAGCTCCATTTTTGCCAAGCAGGCAATAAAGGGTAGCTATGAAGCTGAGAGGCAATAATAAAGCGGTATTAAAGATTAAGCATGCCTAACTTGAAAATCTGGAACTCAAAATGCTCCAATGGAATCCAAAGCTTTTTGACACAACACTCCTAAAACTCTGGATTGGGGAGCATTTCCAATTTCAAACTTTCAGATTAGGGATGCTCAACCAGTAGACTGTATGCAAATATTCCAAAATCCGAAACACTATGGTCCTAAGCATTTGGGAGAAGGGAAACTCAGGCCTGGGAGGGTGGGGTCACTTGGGAAGGACAGAGGCAGGAACAAATACACAGGACAAGCCAGTGAGACTCTTAAGTCCCAGAGAGTGTTCAACAGGCACAGAGGAGGGAAAGGATGCTTCAGGCTGCAGGGACACTTGGGGACAGCAGGAACAGAGTGCTCTGGATCACTCTAAGGAACACAAGCAGTCTGCAGTGATGGAGAGAGGGGTGAGGGTGGGCAGGAAGCTGACCTCTGTGGTCCTGAGCTCCTCACCTCTGTCCTGGGCTGTCTTTCCCATCACCCCATATTGATTCCTGCCTCTTACTAAGGGTCTGCCATGCCCTGAGCCATCTGTCGTGTTAATAGCTCACTGAATTCTCTTATGGCCTATGAAGAGGTCTGGTGACCCAACTCCCAGTTCTGACTCTCACTGTCTAGGTTAGGAAAAACTAAGGCCCAGAAGGGCAGTGCTACCTGTCCACAGACAGCCAAGGAGCCAGGGTCTGGACTCAAGCCCAGGCCATGTGGCTCTGCACGCTCTGGTCTGTCCTTCACCATCTGTCTTTGGAGAGGCCTTCTTCAGGGGCCCCAGGCTGGTCACAATGAGAAGGTGCCTGGCGCTCTCAGGGGGTGCCCACAAAGACCAAGTGGGAAGGGGAAGAAGGGACTAACTGCGGGTCCTGAGCCACCAGCTGCTCCAGGGGCTCTCATCCTTGTCTACAACCTTGGGAAAGCAAAGCTATTCCACTGCAGTTGAAAGCACCCAGGTCTCGGAAGAGAACTGACTTATCCAAGGACACACAACCAAGTCACTGAAAGCCCTGGGATCCCATGCTTTGTGTCTCAACCCTTTTCCACGATCAGATTCAGGGTCCCTCCCCATTGCCCTACTATCCTCCTGATGAGGATGGGGTGAAGGGAAGAATAGAGGAGCTGAACTGTGTCCCACAGGGAGAGGGGGGCAGAGGAGAGGAGGGCTGGGCCTGGACCCCTGAATCTAAGGGAGGAGGCTGGGCCTGGACCCCTGAATCTAAGGGAGGAGGCTGGGCCTGGACCCCTGAATCTAAGGGAGGAGGCTGGGCCTGGACCCTGGGTCTGAGGGAGGAGGCTGGGCCTGGACCCTGGGTCTGAGGGAGGGGGCTGGGCCTGGACCCTGGGTCTGAGGGAGGGGGCTGGGTCTGGACCCTGGGTCTGAGGGAGGAGGCTGGGTCTGGACCCCTGAGTATGAGGGAGGGTCCTTGGAGCCAGGACTCCAGGGTCTGGGGAGAATGAGACTGGAACCTGCAGGAGGGAGCCGGGTTTAGGAAGAGTCTCAGACCCGTGTTGGAGCCCGGAAGACGCGGGGTGCCCGGGGCGGCGGGGTGGGGGCCGGGCCGCAGTAACAAAGGCCTCTCCCTCCAACAAGCAACCCCCCCTCGGCCCCGCCTCCGCGGCCCCCCGCCTCCCCTGATTGGCCGGTCTCCCTGCCCGTCAGCGCCGCCCCCCTCCCCGGGTCTGCTGCAGCTCCGGCCGCCTCGTCGCGCCCCCCCAGCCCCCTCCCCCCGCCCCCGCCGCCCCCCGGGCCGGTGCAGCCGCAGGCGGGGTCCCCCTCCCCCTCCCCCTCTCCCCCAGGCCTCGCGCGCCCCGGACCGGCCCCCCCTCTCCCCTCCCCCTCCGCGCCGCCGCTGCCGCGATGCCCCCCCCTGCGCCCGGGGCCCGGCTCCGGCTCCTCGCCGCCGCCGCCCTGGCCGGCCTGGCCGTCATCAGCCGAGGTACCGCAGCGCCGGGGGCGGGGGGCTCGGCCGGGACGCCTGGGTCTGGGGCGGGGGATGGGACGGGGTGCGGGGCTGCGTCCCCGGGCCGGGAGGGGAGCGCTGGACGCCGAGGTCTGGGCCCGCCGCAGGGGTTGCATTCCCTGGCCGGGAAGGGGGTCCTGGCAAGTCCCGATCCGCGCCCTGGGGCCGGGGGATCGTGTCCCGGGGCTGGATCCTGGGCCCAGGGGCGGAGGTCCGCTTCTCCTCGCCTGCTAGCAAGGGGGTAGCGGACACCTTGTCCGGGCCTGGGGGCCCAGAGTGTGTGCCTCTGGATCGGGGAGGGGGCTCTGACGCTGGAGTAGGGGTTCCCAGGCATGATCTGCGAACCGAGTTGGGGTGCTGAGGAATGATGCGGGTCAAGGGTCTTGCCTCTGCCTGGAGAGGGTCCCTAAGGGAGTTCTTGCCTGGGGGCTGGGGCATGCGTCTCTGGACAGAAGGGTGGGGGGATGGATATCTTCCCAGGGTCAGTAAAAGTAGGGGACACAGTGTCCACAGACCTAAATCCCAGGGCCAGGAAAAGGGAGCCAAGAGCTGAATCTCCCAGTTGAATCTTCTAGGTTAAGAGAAAGTGTTGGCATTTGGGGTGGTGCAATTATGTGGGGGAATGGTACTGGAATCCAGGAGGTTGGGGTGCTGGGCTGGGAACTGATTCCAAAGCTCTGATGAATGTCTGGATTTCTGGTGCTGGACAAAGCATGAGAGATGGACGGATGAAGGACAGGGACCCATTGGAAGCGGAGGGGAGGGGGAAGGGTTGATGCAGGTCACAGGGTTAAGCTCAACCCCACCAGTGGAGACTGGGGGGAGGGTCTCCAGCTGAGCTGGAGGGAGTTCTGGTGGAGGATGTGTGGCTGGAGCCTGTGTCTCCCCTGCAGGGCCTGGCTGGGAGGGGATGGTCAAAGAGATGCCCCCAAGGGGAAGCGGAGAGTAGGAAGCCGCTGGGTGGGTGCTCCGGCGGGCAGGGAACAGTGCTCATCCAGTGTCTCTGGAGGATTCCCCAGGCCTTGACCTAACCAAGGGTTAGTGTCAGGGACAAGAAACCCCAACATAGTGACCTCAGCATCAAAGAGGCAGCTGCTCTCAGCCTCCCTACCATATATGCACAGCCACACAAACACCGCCACAGCACTCTGCCCCAAGATGCACCTGCAGACACCCACAGTCGCACAAACACATCCTCGTCCAGACAGGACATCTATGTCCCCACACCAGATCAGGTCAGGGCCAGAGTGGGCCAGAGCACCAACCCCTTGCTGGTGCAGAAGGCTGGGTTGTTATCTGATTTGCAGACCTGCTCTGTGTTCCTCTCTGTCCCTGTCATGGTCTCTTTGGGTCTCTGTGTCTTGGCCATTTCCAGAGACTCCTATCCTGTCTATTATTTGCTGGGGACATTCCATCCATTTCTGTCTCTGGGTCTTTGTCTCACATCTGTCTCTTTGCCTCTCAAACTGTTCCCCATGGTCACCTCCCAGCTCTCTTCCTGGCTCCCTTGTTCATACCTCAGTCCTCCTTCACCTGTTTCGTTCTTCCCTTCTTGCTGCCTTCTTCCTCCCCCAACCCCCTGTCCCTTTGTGACCTATTTCTCCTCCCTTCCTCCCTTTCCCCCTTTACTCTCCAGGGAACTTCCCATCTTCCACTTTCTGTCTTCAAGACCCCAGAAATCATTGCCATGCACACATTCTGGGTGGGAGCACTCACTCGCAAAGCCAGGAGTAGCCTGTGACCTTGGTCAATTCCGGCCTCATTGGTGGTATTAGGTTCCCCATCTGAGAACCAAGGACAAGAGATGATGGGGTGGGGGTGAGCCATGACAGCTAGGTGCCAGACAGGCACCCAGCCCCCCCACCCACCCACCCACAATTTGCACTGTCTGAAAATAAGCCCTTGGCAAGATATGCAAAATAGTGCCTTCTCCTCTTTTATGGTGATGTTTTCCAAGTTACGAGCTGCACATGAGTAGAACAGTGCACCTTGCAACAGGTATAAGAGCAAACCCTGCGGTGCCCCAGCCTGCCCTCCTCACACCTGCTCTCCCAGAGCTGGGCCAGCGGCGGCTTCTCTCCCTGACACAAGCTCAGACTCAACAGGTCAGTGGAAGAAGAGGACTGGTTGGTTGGGTGATGTTTGTTTGTTTTTCCCAAAATAGAAACAAAAATAAGCCCATTTCTTATTTCCACTTTAAAAAAGCTCCGTGGCATCCATAAATATTAATCTACTTTTATTTTTTTTCTAAATCTTTTATGCCAACACACACACACACACACACACACACACATACACACATCCTCAAGTGTACATATTCATTCACAAAAGTAGTTACACTGTATCATGAAACAATTCAACAAAATCAAAAGGCAGCTGTAGCAGGGTTGGAGTTCTTTTGCTCCATGGGCAGCTGGTGGAGGGACAATAGCCAAGGAGGGGAAGGAGGGTCGAGTCCCAGTGCTGCCCCTGACCAGCTGTCCATGGGACCTCTGAGCTCCCAGATTGATGGAATGGTGGGCTCTGCTTCATTGGTTCATTTAGCAAATGTTTATTGAGCCTGGAGTCCCTGCTCCAGGCAGTCGGGAGACGTGCATGGCCGTGAGCGGGCCAGACCGAGTACTGCCCTCATGGAGCTTGTACCACTGTGGGACGGAGAGGTCAAAAGGCAATTGCAAAGTCTCACAGACAAATAGATGGGTCACTTCAGAGAGTGACAAATGGTATAAAAAAGATAAAAGTGACTTGGGAATGAGTTGGCAGTTTGATTCTGGGTGGTCTAGAAGATGAGGCAGCAGAGAGTGGCCTGAAGGAAGACGAGAAGTCAGACCTGGACAGGTCCTGGGGACAGCAAAGGCCCTGTGGTGTGGACCCCCAGTGAGATGGCAGCCAACACGCAGCATCCGGTTCCAGGGTGCCGGGCCCACCGTCCAGACTCCAGGGCCTCCCTAGTGCAGGAGGGGAGCCTGCAGGCTTCCCGGGTCAGCAAGCGGGGAGTCTGGGGATCCCTTGTGCCAGCTGCACCAGGCCCACCCCTTCTCACGGCCCTCCCCAGCCAGATCCTGGGCTTCCTGGTCCCCACTTCACCAAACCAACTCCCTGGAGGACCCGCACGGGCTCACACCCACTGCCAGGGCCCCAGGGCCCGACCCATGGCTTCTAGGACTGTGGGATCGGAGCACTCCTACCCCAGCCCACTGCAGGGTCCCGGCTGGGCCTCAGTTCTTCCAGGAACCTCGGAGAGTCTTCCCCAACTCAAGGTCACTCAGCTTCTAGAAATCTCTTTCTCTCTCCAGGGAACTCACCTGTCTGTGACCTTCATTCCTGAATTTATCAAAGGAGTGTGAGGCCCGCTAGTCTGGACTGTGTGGACTGTAAGTTCCTCAGGGCAGGGATCCCCGGGGGTCCTGTGTGGTCCCGGGGTCCCCCAGGAGGCTCCTGGTGCCTGCAGCTCCGCCTCCTAACAGCCAACTCCCGGACAGCCCTTGCAAGGACGGGGCCACACCAGCAGCCCTACATGTGCCCCTCAAAGTTCCTCTTTTAGTCCACCCGTGTCCCAGGCAGGGAGGCGTGGTCACCATTCCCACTTACAGGTGGGGAAACCGAGTCTCGGAGAAGGGAAGTGATTGTGGGGCTCTGTGGCAATGCTGGGGTTTGAACCAGGCGGTTCAGCTCCCTGCTCTGTTCTCTTGGCCCCCAGGGGAGCTGTGCTGGGTTGCGCCGGGCCAGGAACAGCCATAGATGTTTCTTTTAAAAAGAAGGTGCTGGCCAGGCACAGTGGCGCAGGCCTGTGATCCCAGCAACTCAGGAGGCTGAGGCAGGAGGATTGCCAGTTCAGGGCCAGCCTCAGCAACTTAGGGAGACCCTGTCTCCAAATTCAAAAAACGAACTGGGGATATGGGTCAATGGTAGAGCACCCCCAGGTTCACTCTCCAGCACCAACAGATAAAAAGAAGGTGCTGCTGGGAATGGCCAGCATGTCGGACCCTCATGCCAGGCTGGTCGCGGGGATCCTTCACGGAAACCCTTGTGGAGAACTCGTATTGTTTTCATTTTTTCCATTTGGGCAAACTGAGGCTCAGATTGACCGGGGGTCACCCAGGCTGGATATGGTGAGCAGACATTTGGTTTCCCAGTCCAGCTCCTTGGGATCTGTTATCTCTAAGGACCTTCCGTTCCCTCTCACACACACTTCCCAGCTCTGAACACGGCCAAGAGTCAGGTCCTCAGGGAACCAACTCCTGGTCCGGTGAGGGTCATGAACACCATCTCAAATGAGTCACAGGGGGCCCAGAAGAGGGGGCATGGGCTTTGCCTTGAGCAGAGAGGTTCTCCTGGAGGAGGGGCGTTCATGTCGGTGTCTTGAGGCATGAGTAGGAGTTCGGGAGTTGAAGTGTGTCACCGTGTCCATTTAGTTATTCATTCATCAAGGCCTCCAGCCGGCCAGCTCCTGTGTGGGGAGATGCTAGGGACCCAGACGTGAGTCAGAATCAGGCTCTGCCCTCAAGGAACTCCTAGTCTGCAGGGGAAGTCAGACAGCACCGTGTACTGGGCTCCAGGGGAGGTAGCCCAAGCATGTGGGAAACAGACGCTCGCCTGTTTATTGATCAGTAAGTGTCTCCTGAGGCCTCCTGCAGACCAGGAGAGCCAGGCCTTGCTGGAACCCTCCATCTGGTGAGGACAGCAGACCTGACACAACCCAAGGTGATTGGGGCATGCAGGGGAGGAACCAGGCTCAGGGACAGAGTCGGCTGTGGTCACTGAAGAAGCTCAGCCCTGAACCAATGAGTGGCCCCAGTGACTACGGCCCAGAGAGGGAAAGGGACTCACCCAAGGCCACCCAGCACAGAGGGGGGGCCTCCTGATCTCAGAGTTTTGGGGTTTTGTGAGACAGATGCAAAGGCCTGAGATTTCCATAATCATAGATACAGACTAGGAACCAATGACCTGCTTGAGAGATGGATTTGCTCATCATGCATTTCCTTGGACTGCCCGAAAGCCAGGCTCTGAGACAGACAACTTCTACCCAAGGTCATGTGACCTGGGAGCAGGGCAGGAGCTCCCCTAGGAAATCTGGGAGGGCCCCTGTGCACTGGGAAACCTGGAGAAGGGTTCCAATGGGACAGTGCGTGTGCTGGGAGAAGAGGGCCGTGCAGAACTGGACCTCACAAGCCAAGGGAGACAGGGCCCGATAGTGACACCAGGATTCCCAACAGACACCAGGCTGAGGCAGCCTGGTTCTGGGGGCACTGGGAGCCCCAGGGGTGCAGTCAGCTCTGGGCACAGGAGACACACCTGTGGCAGGAATGTGTGTGTGTCTGTCAGTGTTTCTGACCGAGTGTGTCCTGCTCGCCTCTGGAGGGCCCCCCTCCCCACCCCAGGGCCCAGCCCTGCATCCTGCATCCACTGAACCTGGAGTGGCACCTTGGACAGCTCCACCTTCAGCCTCAGGCCTTCCTGTCCTGCAGGCACCTCTCAGTGGGACGATGCCATGTGCTGTGCCCCTAGCGGGCATCCCACAGTCTGCTGTTTGTGGGGCGGAGAGAGCTATGGTCCAGAGCAGGAGGTTCAAACATCCTGCAGTGCACACTACTGTCCAGCCCCAAATGTCAGCAGAACTGAGACCTGGGAACGCTGGCCTAGGATGCAGGTCACCAGGAGGTGGCCAAGTCCTGGGGAGGCGAGGTCTGTCTGTCTGTCTGTTTTGGCCAGCCTGGGAAGGGATCTTGGTGCCCACATGTGACTGTCTCAGAACTGAATGGTGTGACATGACTGCCTCTTGGTCCAGGTGTGACTCTCTGTCCAACTCCCTGTGTGGCTGTGTGTGGCCATGTGTGATCTGATCGTAGGTGACAGCATGACTTGGTGCACCTGATCCTCAGCCTGGGGTGGCCTTGGTGTCTGAGGGGATGTGACAGTGCAGCTGTGTGCTCGTGCAGGGTGTGGTTTTGTGGAACTCTGACCCAGGGCCTTCCAGAGTGGGGCTGGGGCGCGTCCCCTCAGGCCGTGGTGTCAGCGTGACAGGTCAGGTCAGCGTGTGTCGCTTCCCCTGGGTAGGCTGTAACCAGACGTGGACTTGGCAGCCCCGCTGGTGTGGGAGGAACCCTGCGGGAACCAGTGGCATGGGGGGGCTTGGTCTACAGGTGCTGCTTGACAGGGACTGTCCCCCTCGGCTGAGTGTGACAGTCTGACTGCTCCTGGGGCAGAGCTGCTTTTTCCAGCTGACCTGCTGGCGTGTGTCTGGGGCTGTGGGTGTCAGTGTGACTCAGTGTTCCTCTGAGCAGAGCCATAGCTTTGTGTGTGACCGAGGGGCTGGGACCGTCTCCTGGCCTGCTGTGGCTCTGCGTCCTTGCCAGGCCCTGGCGACTGTGTGCGTGTGACTGTCCTGTCGTGAACAGGCTGTGCGTGGCAGCCCGCTCCATACCTCAGGGGGAGGACCAGGCCCTGGCCTGGTGAGCCAGGCTGAGGGGCTCCGCGGCCCAGGTCCACACCCGGTGCTGGCCTGCCCACCGCAGTTGGCTGTGTCCTGGCCCCTTCCTGAGGGGCTGCTGATGGAGTGGGCCCCCGGGAGTCATCGGGGCAGCATGGGCAATTAATTCATTAGATTAATTAGCTCCTCTTCCCAGGCTGGGGGTGGGGCAGCCGCACAGGGCCCTCCCGCTCCAGGCGCACCAAGGTCATCCAGCTGGCTCCCTCCCTCCCTGCCCAGGGCTGTCTCCACCGCCTCCGCGTGCCCAGCCCCCACTCCCTGGCCCCTGTCCAGCCGGCCAGCCACGGTCCAGAGAGGGATGAGTGGGGGGGGGGGTTGATGGGGCCCATGGGCCGCACTGGAGTGTGCAGGTGGGCATGGGTGTGTACCCACAAGTGTGCTTGTGAGCACAGGCCGCAGGTGTGTCTGGCACACGTGTGTGTGCAAAGGTTTGTGTGTGTCCATGCACCATGCCTACAGATCTGGGTGTGATGTCTGTCTGTGTTGCGTGGGGCATGCTGGCTCTGTGTGCCTGTGGCATGTTTCTGAATTCATGTGTGTCTGCGTACAAATGGGGGTCTGTGTGCACGTGGATCTGTGCACACGCATTCCTTATATGTGTGTTTATACGTCCTGCACGTTCACAGCCTGTGAATATGTGTGTGCATGCATGTGTGTGTGTATACGCATGCATCTACACAAGTGCCTGGGTGCTTGTACCTGTGTCTGTGATGTGGTGTATCTGTATGTCTAAATGTGTACACATGCCTCATCTGTGCACATGCGTGTGTATCTGTGTAATTATGAATTTGCACATGGATGCCCCTGTGCACTGTGAATGTATTCTGTATGCTCATGTAACTGCACATAGATGTGTGTCTTCATACCCATGTCTGTGCGTGTGTGTTATGTGAACATCTCTGCATGCGTGTGTGTGCACACATGCATGTGTGTATCTGTGCCTGTGCTGTGTTGGCTGTTGCCTCTGTGTCTGGAGATGTGTGTTTGTGTGTCCCTGTGAGCCCACCTGTCCCCATCTGTCAGTCAGGCCCAGTGTGTGTGGGTGTGTCTGCCATGTCTGAGTCTCTGACAGCATCAGAGGATGCGTGTGGAAGATGTCTCTGTGTCCCCAGGGTGTGTGCTCACGTGCCCTCCTGCCTGCCCTCTCGTCCACAGGGCTGCTCTCCCAGAGCCTGGAGTTCAGCTCCCCTGCAGACAACTACACCGTGTGCGAAGGCGACAACGCCACCCTCAGGTACCTCCTGCCTGCAGAGTCAGGAGTCCAAGTCCTCTGTCCCTCCCCAGTGGGGGCAGGCTGGGGCCATGACATCCCCATCAGGCCGAAAGGAGTGTGGACTCTGAGCCCAGTTCTGCTCCAGAGCCTCTGTGTCCCTGTCCGTCCCAGGAGTTCTGCGACTGAGACACCACGTCCAAGATTGAGAGTGCCCACACCCCAGGCTTGGCATGACGTGGCCGCGTCGTAAATGACAGCAGGGTCACTGCCTCGCCGGCTCGCTCCTCACCTCACTCAGGGCCCTGTCTCCTCTCTCTGGGTCTCTGTCCCTCTCTGGGTCCTTGTCTCCCTCCCTCTAGGTCTCTGTTGCCCCTCTTTCTGGGTCTCTATTCTCTCCCCTGGGTCTCTCTCTCTCTCTAGGTCTCTGACTCCCCCTCTCTGACCCTCTGTTGCCCCTCTTTCTGGGTTTCTGCTCCTTCCCTGGGTCTCTGTCTCTCTAGGTCTCTGTACCCCTCCTGTGTCCTCATCATCCCTCTTCCCAGGGTGCCCGTGCCTCTCTGGGTCTCTGGCACTTAACATCAGCCCACGGGCTCTCTGAGGCTCAGCTGCCACCTGCCTGGGTGCACAGCAGGGTCAGCCTCTTGGGCTGCGATGTAGAGAAACCCTTCCTCCCCCACCCACAGCTGCTTCATTGACGAGCATGTGACCCGCGTGGCCTGGCTGAACCGCTCCAACATCCTGTACGCTGGCAATGACCGCTGGACCAGCGACCCGCGTGTGCGGCTGCTCATCAACACGCCTGAAGAGTTCTCCATCCTCATCACCCAGGTGGGGCTCGGGGACGAGGGCCTCTACACCTGCTCCTTCCAGACCCGCCACCAGCCGTACACCACTCAGGTCTACCTCATCGTCCACGGTGAGCCCTCGGCCACGGCCCGGGATAGGGTGAGGGGCGTGGGAGGAGGGGACTCATGACAGGCTGCATTATGGTGAGAGTGGGGACACATTCAAGTAGAAGCCGGGCACAACCCTGCCCTCATGGATTTCAGCCAAGCAGAAGGGGGACGTCACACTCCTGGTGACACTTCATTGGACGGTTTCTAGAGCGGGAGAGCTGCAGGGTGAGGGGCGCTCAGAGGAAGACGCCCTGCGGAGCCATCTCCTGCGTGCCCACTGCGTGGGGTTGTTCTAGACGGAGGATACCAATGAGGCAGGCAGGCTGTCCCTGATCCTTGGGAGCAGATTTCCCCGGGAGCGGCTCAGGGAGGGCTCCCAGGTACAAAGCCGGTACCAGAAAAGAAACAGTGCCTCGGGGATCCACAGGACCAGACCCGGGGCTGCGAGGGCCCACAGCAGGGGGGGAGGCACAGAGGGCCTAGAGGTGAAGCTCCGGAGGCTACTTCCCTGGCCAGCAGAGTGGCCCGGAAGACAGCAGCACACGAGGGAAAACAGCCCGAGACAGGGAGTCCTGACAGCTCAGGAGCCGGCCTGCCTGGTTCCAGACTCAGGGCCAGCACCCACCTGTGAGCAGAGGCCTCGGGCTCAGCCTCCTCCTCCTGGGATGGGGACGGTGCTGGCACTCATGCAGTGCAGGACGTCCTCAGTCAGAAGGGCCACCTGTATTTTATCCTTTATAAGAGAAGAAAAACCTTCTGCCAATTAAACTGTTTTCCTATATCACAAGCCAATCCTGATTAGAGAATGTCCAAAGGGAGGAGGGGAAGTAAGGCACAGTGTATTAGAACTGGGGAAATAGGGTAACGCCCACCCAGAAAACAGGGTGCGGGCCTAGTGGCTGGGTTTTTGTAAAGCAATTAGAACACAATCTACCACATAGGAAGTGTCATGTATATATTTGTTAAGTTAATTTTAAAATAATAATAAATAAAATAGCCAGGCATGGTGGCAGGAGGATGGCGCGTTCCAGGACAGCCTTGGCAACTTAGAGACACCCTGTCTCAAAATAAAAAGGGCTGGAGATGTGGCTCCCAGGTAGGAAACCACTGGGCTCAATCCAACATACCCCCCAAAATCATAATGACAGATAAATAAAAGTGGAGCCAGTAGAGCCAGGAGGGAGGAATCAGACCAAAGATAAAGTTAGGATGAAAGCAGAAAAGACAGACAGACAGACAAAGCCAGTAATTAGACAGGGGGCCAGGCCCAGGCAGCGACCACTGAGAAGAGGACAAAGAGTCAAGTGAGGAAACAAAGGGAGGGTTAGAAGGTCTGGGCCTGGGCCCTGAGTCTGGGGAGGGGACGGGCCTGGGCCCTGGGTCTGGGGAGGGGATGGGCCTGAACCCTGGGTCTGGGGGAGGGGATGGGCCTGGACCCTGGGTCTGGGGAGGAGACTGGCCTGGACCCTGGGTCTGTGGGAGGAGGGAAGAAGGCAGGCCTGGACTTCCAGGGGTGCACACAGGACTTACGCTGACCTCTCCCGCTGCCCACAGTCCCTGCCCGCATTGTGAACATCTCCTCCCCTGTGACGGTAAACGAGGGAGGCAACGTAAATCTGCTTTGCCTGGCTGTAGGGCGGCCAGAGCCCACGGTCACCTGGAGGCAGCTCCGAGGTGAGGCCCTACCCCTGACCCAAAGCCTCTTCCCCAATTCTGCAGTCTGGGCCCTTCCTTCCCCATATTCCTGGCTGGACTCCCAGATCCCCCTTCTCCAGCCCTTCTGGTGTCTTGATTTCCCTTCCAGCCGGATCTCCAGTTATTTCCTCACCAGACCCCAGTACTGGCTTCCCACTTGCTGCCCAGTCTGGGCCGGTACCTCCAAAGACCCCACTAAGCCCTGGCTCTGGCTTCTCCCACCTGCTCACTGATTCTCCTAGACTCAGCTCCCCACCACCAGATGCCCTAAGCCAAGCTGCAGCCTGGGCCCTGGCCATACACTCACCTCCTAGTCACACCCCACCTCTCTGCAGCTCATTGTTATAGCCCAGTGGTTTCAAAATGTGGTCCCCAGACCCCAGCATCAGCATCCTTTGGGAACTTGCCAGAAAGGTACACTCTCAGGCCTCTTCCCAGACCCAGGGGAGATCAGGAGCCCCCTCCACCTCACCCCAGTCTTTTTCAGCAAGCCCTGAGAACCACCACTCAGGGCTCCCTCCAAATATGACAGCACCAGGCCCAGACATCACCCTCCAGCCCTTTACCTGGCTCTCCACTGCCAGATTCAGATCTCTGGATCCTCACTCATTGGGTCTCTGGAGACCCATGGTGCCAATTGCTAGGTCCTAATCCCTGGATCCCCTGAGATCCCAGAACCCTATTACTAAGCCTCAGATCCCTGGATCCTGCCCCACTGTGTCTTATGAACCCCACAATCCTGATCTTGAGATCCTGGATCCCTGGGTTCCTTAAGTCCTAGGGGTCCTCTGTGTGCAGAACTGTCACAAGATTGCAGATATCTAGATAACTGATTCTGATAATCAGATATCAATTCCCTGGACCTGAAGAACTAGGTCTCAGAATTCTGGATTCTTCCCCATTGTGTTCCCTGGATCCTTCTGAGATCCAAGATCCTGGAATCTTCCACCCCACTGGATCCTCTGAAGACCAGGATCTGAATCATAAGATCCCAGATCCCTGGATCTTCTGAATCCTGAAATTCCAGGACCCTCCCCACTGGGTTCCAGTGCCTAAGTCCCTGTCCTCACTCTCCCTCCCCCTTAGGCCCCTCGCGGCTCCTACTGCCCCGGGCACTCCAGGCCTTGCTGTGCCCGCCCCGCTGATGTGTGTCCGTGTTGTGCCCGTGTTGTCCCGTGTTAAGTGTTTGTGTCCGGCCCCGCCCCCTCCTGCTCCCTCCCCCACAGACGGCTTCACTTCCGAGGGTGAGATCTTGGAGATTTCTGACATCCAGCGGGGCCAGGCCGGGGAATACGAGTGCGTGACTCACAACGGGGTTAACTCGGCGCCCGACAGCCGCCGCGTGCTGGTCACAGTCAACTGTGAGCGCCCACCCCCACCCCGGCACTGGGCAGGAAAGAGGGGTGGGCCTTAGGGCCCTGGGGAGGCGGGGTCTGTATGTTGGAGAAGGAAGCTGGGCGGGGCTCCTGGGTCCGAGGGAGGAGGCTGCTGGAGTGGCACCCTGTAGTCCCCTCGCTGCTAAAATTAGCCCATGCTACACCCTCGCCAGATCCCCCGACCATTACGGACGTGACCAGCGCACGCACCGCCCTGGGCCGGGCAGCCCTTCTGCGCTGCGAAGCCATGGCCGTGCCGCCTGCGGACTTCCAGTGGTACAAGGACGACAGACTGTGAGGACCGCCCCGGGGCCGGCCGGGAGGGGAGGAAAGGGGGAGGCCCTCGGTCCCTGGAATGGCAGGGCCAGGGCGCGGGGGTGGAGGGGCCAAGTTCTGTGTTCTGAGAAGTGAGGGTCCAGCTTCTAGGTGATAGAGTCTGCCGAGTCCAGGGAGACTAACCTGGGTCCCGGGATGAACGCCGGAGCCCGTCTCCCCGGACTCTTCAGGGAGAGGTCTAGGGTCGGGAGTCTGCTGAGGATCTGGCGTGCAAGGGGACCACTGGGACCGGGTTTGAGAGCCCTTAGGAATTGGGGGTTGTGGCGCACACAGGGAGAGTCCAGTGTCCCTCGGGGCGACCGTGCTTGGAGAAGGAATCCCTGAGGAGCTAGAGAGCTAGAGCCCAGATGCTAGTGGTCGCTGGAGGAGGCTGAGTCGGGGTACTGGGCGCTGCTCCCAGGAGGGTCTGGCCCAACGCGGATCCCGTCCCCGGCAGGCTGAGCAGTGGCGCGGCCGAGGGCCTGAAGGTGCAGACGGAGCGCACCCGCTCGATGCTTCTCTTCGCCAACGTGAGCGCCCGGCATTACGGCAACTACACGTGCCGCGCCGCCAACCGGCTCGGAGCGTCCAGCGCCTCCATGAGGCTCCTGCGTGCGTCTGCGCGTGGCGGCAGGGCAGGGGTGGCGGGTCGGGAAGGGGAGGCAGACACCCCGGGACCCACCCCCTGACTGGCCCCGAATTTAGGAAAGAGGAACCATGAGACTTGAGCAACGCGACTGGGCAAAGAAACCCATCCACTGGATCAACACTCATTGAGCGCCCACTAAGGGCCAGGTGCTGGGGACACAGCAGTGCACAAAAGAGACAGGATTTGGGGATGCACAGAGCTCGAGGCCTAGTAGTAACAGGAAAGCATTTATGTGGGCACGTAGATAAATAAGCAAATACATGAACAAAATATTATTTTGAATATCAAGAAGAGCTGGCAAGAAACGAATAGATAGGATTAGAGGTGGCAGGTGTTACCCAAGGTCATCAGTCAGGCTACCCTGAGGGGCATCATTACTCTGAGGCCAGAATGATAAGAAGCCAGCCTGTGCAATTCTGCTGGAAGGGCTTCACAGGCAGGGGGACAGAATTTGCAAAGGTACTGTGAGAACAGCTTGGTGTAGCAGATAAATTGCATGGAACCTGGGAGAAAAAGGAAAGTAGCCCTTGCCCCATTAGTAAGGGGTTTGGGCTTATTGTACTGCAGGTAAGGCCACTGGGGGCAGTTAAGCAGGGAGTGACATGTGTTGAGACTTCTAAAGACAATCACTTAGGGCTCTGAGATGGAGGCAGAGAGCTGGCGGGGAGGGCAGCTGTAGAGATCCAGAGCTGGGTGGATGGACAGCATGAAGCCTCTCTCCAGAGTCGCCTTGGAGGTGGCGCCATGGGGCTAGGTGCCAGACTGATGTGCGACGCTAAGGTAAGGGAGGAGCTGAGTCAGAGTGCTCCTGAGGCTTGGGCTGGAGCTGAAATATTAATATGCTCAAGTGTTGAAGAGGGAGGGGAGGGCGGCCAGCCAAAGGCAGAAAAGTCCAAGAAACAATTTTGGGCTTGCGGAGGATGAGACAACTGGTGGAAATGCTGGACAGACAGATTCTAAGACAGAAGGACAGGGCTAAAACAGTGGAACGGAGTGGAGAAGATCTGAGAATGTGCTAAGACTCACAAAGCAGAAAAGTCTCAGGAAGGCCCCCGAGAGGCAGCTTAAGACGAGGCACCCAGAGGGACACCCAGGAAGCCTCCCCGCTGCTGCCTCGGTCCCTGACCCTCCCTCTTCCCTCAGGCCCAGGATCCCTGGAGAACTCAGCCCCGAGGCCCCCGGGGCCGCTGGCCCTGCTCTCCGCCCTGGGCTGGCTGTGGTGGAGGATGTAGGTGCAGCCCAGGGCCTCCCCCTGCAGGGGGCCTCGGGCCAAGAGCAAGAGGAAAAGGGGGAGCCAGCGCCGTGGGTCTCGAGCGGGCAGAAGAGCTCTCAGCCACCGAGAAGGACGAGAGGAAGAGGAGGAGGAGGAGGATCTTTAGAGAACCCATCACTGTGAGGGATAACGCAAAATTATGCATCTTTCTACAGCCATTCTCGCCACCCGTTCACGTTTCCAGTTGTGACCCACCCCCGCCACCCCACACCCCTCTCTTAGCTCAGGCTGTCAACGGGCTCGTGTGTGGGTGGGTGTGTGAGTGTGAGCCCGCACGTATGTATAGGTGTGTGTGGGGGGAGGCTGGAGGAGGGGACCAGCAGTCCTCCCCCGCTGCCACCCCGTGTCCCCTGCCCCGCCCTGCTGCCTCTCTCCTCTGGCTGGAGGTAGGTATGTGGGTGCTTCTCTGTGAGGCTGTGAGAGAACGGCCAGGCTTTCCCACGTGTGCACGCTGCCCGCCCCTCCCCCTCGCTGTCACTAGGGCAGGTCTGGAGCTGGGCAGTTGCTCAGCCTTCGGGAAGAGGTGAGGGCTGCCTTGGCAGGTTCCTCCCTGCTGCGCCACCTGCTGCCTGTAGCCAGAGGCCCCATCACTGGCTCAGTGGCCTGAGACCTTCCACTTGCCCTGCCCCTCCCCACCCTGGACTTTCTGGCCCCCTCCTGGGCCATTCGGTGCTTCCATCCAACTGTCAGGCTGGTGACAGAAGTCGCCTGTCTGCCTCAGTGCTTTGCCCCACCCCCGCCACCACTCCCCTTGGCCACCTGCAGTACCAACCAGCTCCCCCCGGCCCTGCAGCTGGCCCACAGGTGTGGGCTTCCCGGCCTCCCACTCCCTGGCCTCCACCAAATGTACCTCCCAAAGGCTAACCTGACCGTCCTCACACACAGACACACACCCACACACCAGCGACTGTGACCAGCAATAGCCCCCTGGCTCCAGCTGTCCTGTAGCCGGTGACCAGCTGTTGATCCCTGGTGGGCCCCTGTTGTCAGGAAGGGATGCTGAGGCTGTGGCCTCAGCTCTGATTGTCAGATACTCCACCCTGGTACACCACAACACACAGAGTTGGGGGGGGGAGGCGTCACAGACATCCTGAGCCCAGAAAAGATGCCATGTCACCAGCTCCAACTCCCTGGAGACCCTCTATAACCACCCACCCACCCACACCACACCACCCAGAGCTTGGTGGAGAAGAGGGCAGAGAGGGGCGGGGGAGCAAGGGGCAGTGACTGTACCTCAGACAGGGGCGTGGGCCCCATCCCACATTGTCTTCCATTCCCAGGGTCCAGGGATCGGGTAGGGAGGGGAGGGCTGCTGGGCGGGGAGGGCGGGGGGCCCTGGGGGCCGTGTGTTCCGATTCATGGGGAGTGTTGAGACCACCGCACCAATAAACGCCTTTTTCCAAAGTCTCTGCCTGCAGCTGTCAGTGTCATTAGGAGTTGGGAGTGGAGGGTATGGGGACATGGATCTCTGGAGGTGCCTCCCCAGCGTCATTCCCACCCCCCACTCTCTCTTTGGGGCCTTTAAATTGGCCCATTACAGCAGTGGCCCCTAATTGGCTTAAGCCACTCCCCAGAGCCCATCTCCCACCACAAGTGGCTCAGAGATGGGCACACCGCCCAGCCGGGCTACGGAGGGGGTAGATTCATGAGGAGTGGTGAGTCTGCTGGATAACAGGGCTCCAGGATGCACGGCGGGCATCTGCAGGGTCACTGGGTCGTAACCTGAAACCAACCGCCTCCATATTTCTTGCTGCCATTTATCTTGTTATCTGCAGCCAGGAGAATCCCCACTGGTGTACCCCAAATTCTCAGTGAGATAGCTGACATGCAGGAGAGAGCAGCAGCGAGCCCAGCCCTTCACTGGCACCAAAACATCTATCAGTCAACAAATAATTTATTGATCGCCTGCTGTGTGCCAGGCTTTGTGATAAGTGCTGAGATAATGTGTGGTTTCTGCCTCTGTGACGCTGTCAGTGTAGAGCTGGAACCTAAGCTACGCATAATGATGTGTTTACATGTGAGGAGGGAAAAGTTCAGGGGCTCTGGGACCTAACCCATGACCAAAGAGAGGTGAGGGGAAAGATGGTCTGTGGTAACGGCTACCTGGGAGCTGATGATCGATATGGGGAAGACAAGTGCCCAGACAGAGTGAATCCAGGGACAAAGGCCTGGAGGGGGAGAAACGCTAGGGAGGGGCTGGGGTTGTGGCTCAGCGGTAGAGCGCTCGCCTAGCACCTGCGAGGCCCTGGGTTCCATCCTCAGCACCACATAAAAATAAATAAAGGTATTTAAAAGAAAAAGAAACGCTAGGGAGCAGGGTTAGTCCTGGGAAGAGGGTGATGAAGGCCAACAGGCCAAACCACAAGACCTTGGAGGTCCTTGAGGAGTTTAGATAAAATCTAAAGAGTCTAAAGAGAAGAAGGAATCCTGGGAGCTGGAGGGGGTGTGGCCCAGAGGAGGCAGACAGGAGACCACTTCAGGGAACCTGGACAGGCTCCCCTCCAGCTCAGAGGAACACGCCGGCCCTGCCTGTCCGCCCCAGAGCCGGAACTGCACTTTTCCAGATGTGCAGGACCTCCTGGGCTGGGTCTACAAACACAGGGTAAGTCTTCTCTGTGACGAGACAGGGAGTCCCACTTTCAGGGCCCAGCCCTCAGTCATAGCTGGCCCTACTTGCTGCTGGATCCTTGCCCCAAAATACCCCGTGAAGAGTGGGGCACTGGCTCTGATCACACCTGCGTGGCTGTCCGAACAGTTCTTGGTCCCCCACCTGGAAAGATGACTGGACTGGGGCTGGTGGCCTGGAAGAGAAGCAAAGTAGGGGTGATCTCAGGAGGCACCCTGGATGTGACATGACTCACCCACATCATTTCCCCAGCCTAGCCCAAACTTTTCAAAAACTAGCTGTCCCTCCCCCTGCCCCCCATATTTGACCACCATTGGAGGGGCTAAGACATGCAGCAGCAACCCAACTTTAATGGGAAACACGGAAATTCCACTGCCTCAGGGAGAAAAATGGAAGGTTTGACTAATTTTTATGAAAATCAAAGGAGGCCTCACCTCATTCTCCTTTGGAGAAGATACTAGGATGCACACTTCTGTTAGGATACCTAAAAGCTGTGCAGGAAATCCTGTCCAGATTTTTTTTTTTCCTTATTAAGAAATAAGGTTTTACCAACTTTGTAAGCCGACAAACAAAGTTGGAGACTGGAATTAAGAAACGCTCATCTCCCTGAGTATGAAACAAGCTCCGTCCCCATTCTGGGAGGAAATGGGGACAGGTGCACTCACTTGGTAGGCCTTGGCTTTGTTAGAGTCCTTCAGAGGGACTTGGAGGGGCAGTGGCTGTGGGGTCTGTACTGGGCTCACAGTCTGCATCTTCTCCTCTGGAGAGATGACCCCAGGAGCCAAGGCTGCAGGATGCTTCTTTTTCTTTGGCGCCTTCGCTGAGAGAGGAGGCAGAGAAATAGGAACATGTGATTGGCTGCCCCAACATGCAGACCCAGCCAATAGCAAGGGAAGCTGGGGTGAGAGGCGGGACCTTACTTTGATTGATCTGGAGGTAGGAAGGTGGGACATGCTAGGACTGCGCTGATTGGCTCACTTAGGTCTCCCTTTTTCTAGCCCCTCCCAGTCGGCCTCCTCTGCAGGTTCCCCACTCACCCTGGTAGCACCGCAGGCAGTAGATGCAGAGGAGAAGGAGTGCAATGAGCAGTGACAGACCTAATAGGGAGCCCAGGACAATGCCAGCAATGGCACCGGGGCCCAAGGTGGGGCCTGGAAGAGACAAACAGAAGGGAGAGAAGTTTCCAAACCCCTAACTCATCCTTCCTGTGAGCATCCCGTGCACTGTCCCTCTCAGAACACAGAACTTGGGGCTGAGCGCTCTCAATTCATTTAACGTTTTCTGAATTACGGACTACCCAGTGCCTGGCAATTCGGCCTCGTGGTGAGGATCCACTGGTGGGCAAGACAGCCCAGATGCCTACTCCATGGGGATTCATCCTAGGAGGGCAGCAGAATAAGGAGCAACAACTAGCATAACGACGGACTGGACTAAGAAGGGAAAAAACCCCTGTGATAGACACAATGGGAGGGGAGATGATGTTTAGCAAGGGTGATGGATTAAGGTCTCTAAGAAAGTAACAGCTGAGCAGAGATCTGAAGAATAAGAAGTTAGTCAGGCTAAACCTGGGAAAGGGTGTTTCGAGAGGAGAACAGAAAATGAGAAGGCTCAGAGGTTGGGAAGAGCCTTCTGGGTTCAGTACAGGGTAATGTGGGTGGAAGGAGAGAAGGCGAGAGAGAGGGAGAGGGAGAGGGAGAGAGAGGGAAAGAGGGAGAGAGAGAGCCAGAAAGAGGGAACATGGCTCTGAAGACACCCCTATCTTGGACTTCTGGCCCTGGGAGCCATGAGAGAATCAACGTCTGCCATTATAAGTCGCCCAGGTCATGGTACATTGTTACGGTGCCCTAGCAGGTTACCAGAGGGGGAAGACAAGCCACTGCAACAGATTGAGAATGGCTGGCCAGAGTTCTAAGAGGAAGTCCAGGAGAAGATGTCCACGGCCCGACTCACCTGCCTGGTAGACCCGGCTTTGGGATGGAGGCCCTGGCTGGGACCCCAGTCTGGGCAGGATGCGCAAGGTCCAGGCCCTGGGAGTCCGAGGAGGGAGGGGCAGCACAGCTGAGCGCTCCCGAGGCCCCAGGATAAGCAGGGAGATCCAGTCCTCATAGGCTGTGGCTCTGCCCAGTTCAGGTCCCTCTGTCCGTGCCTGGATCACAAAGCTGCTGATCAGGGCCCCACGCTCCACATCCCAAGTCAGCACTGCCGCATCCCGGGCTCTCTGCAGCCTCCATGAGGCGATGGAGGGGCCTGGGGATGAGGGGAGGGGGTGGCTGGATTCTTGGGAGCTAGAGAGGAGAGGGAAAGGGAACTGGACTCCTAAATCCCCTACATGGAGAGCTACATTCCTGTATCTGGAAAGAGGAAGGAGCTAGGGGCCCAGGCTTCTGCTTCTGAGGGAGGAGGCTGGGCCTGGATCCCTGGGTCTGAGGGAGGAGGCTGGGCCTGGACCCTGGGTCTGAGGGAGGAGGCTGGGCCTGGACCCTGGGTCTGAGGGAGGAGGGCTGGGCCTGGACCCTGGATCTGGGGGAGGAGGCTGGGCCTGGACCCCGGGGTCTGGGGGAGGAGGCTGGGCCTGGACCCCTGAGTCTGAGGGAGGAGGCTGGGGCTGGACCCTGGGTCTGAGGGAGGAGGCTGGGCCTGGACCTCAGGGATGAGAGAGGGGGCCTGGACATACTCCTGGGTCTGGGAGAGGAGGAGGTGGGAGACTTAAATTGACAGGTTCTTGGAATGGGCGGGGCTCACCAATAAGGGTAATCTGGTCAACCCCAGTACCCAGCGCCCCACTGCAGAACACGGAGTAATTTCCCAGGTCCACATTCAGGCTGAAGTTGCTGATGAGAAGCGTCTGCCCATCTTGGCTGATTCGCAGGCGACCCCCGCCTCCTGGAGCCAGGGGCCTTCCTTCCCGGGCCCAGGATGCTCGAGAGGGTGGGAGACAGCCAGAAGCCTCCAGAGCCACCTCTGCCTGCCCTGACCTTGTCTCTTGCACCAGCTGATGTAGCAGCACCTCCCTGGGGGCCTCTGTAGGTGACAGAAGCCCAGTTAAAAGTCAAGACCTGCCTAGTGTGGTGAGGCCCGCCTGTAATCCCAGCAACTCAGGAGGCTGAGGCAAGAGGATCACAAGTTCCAGACCAGCCTGGGCAACTTAGAGAGACCCTGTCTCAAAACAAAAAATAAAAAGGGCTGGGGATGTAGCTCAGTGGTATAACCATCCAGGGTTCAATCCCTAGAACTGGGAGGGGAAAAAAAGGCAAGACCGTATTCTCCACTGGAATAATAAGTCCCGTGTCCTTCCATAAATCAAATAGTGGTGAACCCAGCACTGTAGGGGAACTGCCCATTCACTCTCTCATTCATTCATTATCTGATATCCCCAGCAAACACTTAACTGAACATATGTTATACATGGACAAGGGCTGGGAAGCCCATTATGCTCAGCTATTCATTACTTTGAAAAAATAAAAATAAAAAGATTAATGTATCTTTCTAAATATAGGGACTGCCCTGTTCCTGAGACCAGGGGGAAAACCCTGTCCCTGCCCCCTCCCCACCTTGGAGTACAGAAAAAAAAACCTTGTTGCCTCTTTAGGTTCAAAGAAAGTGAAGTTCTGCCCTTTCCTGGAGTAGAGGGAGATTCTCCCCGCCCCACAAGTCCCAAAGGA